CCGAGTAGCTGGGATTACAGGTGCCCACTCACACGCCCAGCTAATATTTTGTATTTTTAGTGGAGACAGGGTTTTACCATGTTAGTGGTCTCAAACTCCTGGCCTCAGGTGATCCACCCACCTCGGCCTCACAAAGTGCTGGGATTACAGGCATGAGCCACCGCACCTGGCAATTTTTGTATTTTTACTAGAGATGGGGTTTCACCATATTGGCCATGGCTGGACTTCAAGTCTGCCCCACCTCGGCCTCCCAAAGTGCTGGGATTACAGGCATGAGTCACCACTCCTGGGCCTTTCGTCCTTTCTATTGATGCTTCTCTCCGCATTTTCTGATCCTCAGTCCTTGTTTCCTACAAGGCTGAGGTCCTAAATCCAGCCTGTGAAAGAGAAGTGCCAGCAGAGGCAGCACCCAGCACAGAATCTATTATTGCACCATGCCCTGTGGTCAGGGCCTTCAGTAAAAGCCCACAGACCCTGACTACTTTCTGGCGGAATCTGGAGGAAGGCCTTAACCACACACAAAAGGACAAGGACAGAGCTGTGGAGGGACTGCTGGCTGCTGCAGTGTGAAGAGAATAGTTAATGCACTCTACAAAAATAAAAAAGCATAAAATTGGAAAAAAATATATACCAAAAATATTTCAAGGTTCTGGAAATCAGCCAAAGGCAGGCAAATTAAGCAGCATTTATTCTTGGAAAAAACTGGCTGGGCACGGTAGCTCGCGCCTGTAATCTCCCAACACTTTGGGAAGCAAAGGTGGGAAGATGGCTGGAGGACAGGAGTTCAAGGCCAGCCTGTGCAACAAAGCAAGACCCTGTCTCTACAAAAAATAATAATGAATAATTAAAAGAAAAAGAGTGGCCGGGCGCGGTGGCTCACGCCTGTAATCCCAGCACTTTGGGAGGCCGAGGCGGGCGGATCACAAGGTCAGGAGATCGAGACCACGGTGAAACCCCATCTCTACTAAAAATACAAAAAAATTAGCCGGGCGCGGTTGTGGGTGCCTGTAGTCCCAGCTACTCGGGAGGCTGAGGCAGGAGAATGGCGTGAACCCGGGAGGCGGAGCTTGCAGTGAGCCGAGATCGCGCCACTGCACTCCAGCCTGGGCGACAGAGCGAGACTCCGTCTCAAAAAAAAAAAAAAAAAAAAAAAAGAGTGGCTCATGCCTGTAATCCTTGCACTTTGGGGTCCTAGGCAGGTGGATCACCTGAGGTCAGGAGTTTAAGACCAGCCTGACCAACCTGGTGAAACCTGTTTCTACCAAAAATACAAAAAAATTAGCCAGGCATGGTGGCACATGCCTGTAATCCCAGCTACTTGGGAGGCCGAGACAGGAGAATCGCTTGAACCGAGGAGGCGGAGGTTGCAGTGAGCCGAGATGGCACCACTGCCCTCCTGACTGGGCAACAAGAGCGAAATTTTGTATCAAAAAGAAAAGAAAAGATAAAGAAAAAAAAAAGGGCTAGAACTTAGGTAAGAGAAGCAGATATCTGCCACCCTCTTGCCTGGGACTGCTCCCAGTACTGCTCCCCTTTCCCCCAAACCCTCTCTATTGGCAAGAACAGTCTTACCATGTCAGGCTTGAGGGTAAACTTGATTCTGTTTGTGTGTGAAGGGGCTGGAATATTTGGGAGGAAGGAGAAATGTATTTTTTTTTTTTAGACGGAGTTTTGCTCTTACTGCTCAGGCTGGAGTGCAATGGCACGATCTCAGCTCACTGCAACATCTGCCTCCCGAGTTCAAGCAGTTCTTTTAGGCCGGGCACAGTGGCTCACGCCTGTAATCCCAGCACTTTGGGAGGCTGAGGCGGGCGGATCACAAGGTCAGGAGATCGAGACCAGCCTGGCTAACACGGTGAAACCCCGTCTCTACTAAAAATACAAAAAATTAGCCGGGCGTGGTGGTGTGTGCCTGTAGTCCCAGCTACTCGGGAGGCTGAGGCAGGAGAATGGCATGAACCCAGGAGGCACAACTTGCAGTGAGCCGAGATCGTGCCACTGCACTCCAGCCTGGGCAACAGAGCGAGACTCCGTCTCAAAAAAAAAAAAAAAAAAGAAAGAAGAGGTTTTTTTAGTTTTTTTTTTTTTTTTTTTTTTTTTTGAGACAGGGTCACCCAGGCTGGAGTGCAGGCACAATTATGGCTTCCTGCAGCCTTGACCTCCCCAGGTTCAGGTGATCCTCCCACCTCAGTTTTTCTATTTTTAGTAGAAGCCTCCGCCTCCCAGGTTCAAACAATTCTCCTGCCTCAGCCTCCTGAGTAGCTGGGATTACAGGCGTGTGCCACCACGATGGGTTAATTTTTGTATTTTTAGTAAAGACAGGGTTATACCATATTGCCCAGGCTGGTCTTGAACTCCTGGGCTCAAGTGATCCACCTGTCTTGGCCCCACAAAGTGCTGGGATTACAGGCGTGAGCCCCCATACCTGGCCAGCAGTTTCTTAAAAAAGTTAAACTTGGCTGGGCACGGTGGCTCACGCCTGTAATCCCAGCAGTTTGGGAGGCCGAGACGGGCAGATCACGAGGTCAGGAGATCAAGACCATCCTGGCTAACATGGCGAAACTCTGTCTCTACTAAAAATACAAAATATTAGCCGGGTGCGGTGGCGGGCGCCTGTAGTCCCAGCTACTCGGGAGGCTGAGGCAGGAGAATGGCGTGAACCCGGGAGGCGGAGCTTGCAGCGAGCCGAGATCGAGCCACTGCACTCCAGCCTGGGCAACAGAGCAAGACTCCGTCTCAAAAAAAAAAAAAAAGTTAAACTTACCTTAAAACCCAGCAATCCACTCCTAAGTATATGTCCAAAAGAAAAGAAAACAATAGGCCGGGTGCAGTGGCTCACACCTGTAATTCCAGCACTTTTGGAGGCTGAGGCGTGTGGCTCTCCTGAGCTCAGGAGTTCGAGACCACCCAGGGCAACATAGTAAAACCCCGTGTCCACTAAAAATACAAAAAAATTAACCGGGTGTGGTGGGGCACGCCTCTAGTCCCACCTACTTGGGAGGCTGAGGCAGGAGAATCGCTTGAGCTCCAGAGGCGAAGGTTTCAGTGAGCCGAGATCGTGCCACTGCACTCTAGCGTGGGCTACAGAGTGAGACTCCATCTCACACACACTAAAACAAGAAATGAAAACAACAATTTGTACATGAGTTCAAAACAGAATTATTTATTTATTCCCCAAACTAGAAACAATCCAAATATCTATCAACAAATGGATAAGCAAATGATGATATAATTGCATTATGGAATACCACTCAGCAATGAAAAGGAACCAACCACTCACACCTACAACAGCACTGACGAGCCTCAGAAATGTCACGCTAAGTGAAAGAAGCCAGAGCAAAAAATTACATGCTATTCCATTTCTATGAAATTTCGGGAAAAAGCAAAACCATGCAAAGTAGATCAGAGGTTGGTTGGGGGTGAGAGCAAAGACTGACTACAAATAGGCCCAAGGGAACATTTTGGGGTGATGGGAGTTTCTAAAAGTGGATTATGGTGATGGCCACACAACAGTATAAAGATCATCCAAATGTATTCTTACAACGTTTGAATTGTATGACATGTAAATTATCTCATTAAATCTGTATTTTTAAAAAAGAACTGTGCTGTGAAGTCTGACATATTTTAAAGTAGGATGTCTTAGCCAGGCGTGGTGTTGCGTGCCTGTAGTCCTAACTACTCAGGAAGTTGAGGCTAGAAGACTGCTCGACCTCAGGAGTTCAAGGTTGCAGTAAGCTATGATCATGCCACTGCACTCCACCCTGGGCAACAGAGCAAAGACCCTGTCTTTAAAAAAATTAAAAACTTACTGGGCACAGTGGCTCACACCTCTAATCCCAGCACTTTGGGAGACTGAGGCAGGTGGATCACTTGAGGTCAGGAGTTCGAGACCAGCCTCGCCAACGTGGTGAAACCCTGTCTCTACGAAAAATAAAAAAATTAGCTGGGTATGGTAACATGTGCTTGTAGTCCCAGCTACTAGGGAGGCTGAAGCAGGAGACTCGCTTGAACCTGGGAGGTGGAGGTTGCAGTGAGCCGAGATCACGCCACTGCCCTCCAGCCTGGAGACAGAGCAAAGACTCCATCTCAGCAACAACAAAAAAAGCCGGGCATGGTGGCTCATGCCTGTAATCTCAGCACTCTGGGAGGCCGAGACGGGCGGATCACGAGGTCAGGAGTTTCAGACTAGCCTGGCCAAGATGGTGAAACCCCGTCTCTACTAAAAATACAAAAATTAGCTGGGCGTGGTGGAAGGCGCCTGTAATCCCAGCTACTTGGGAGGCTGAGGCAGGAAAATTGCTTGAACCCGGGAGGCGGAGGTTGTAGTGAGCTGAGATCACACCACTGCACTCCAGCCCGGGCAATAGTGCGAGACTCCGTCTCAAAAAAAAAAAAAAAATCTAAAACTCAAACTTTTGAATAACAATTTCCTCCTAGCAAGAAGGGACTCAGTAAGATGAATAGCGCTGCTTGGCCACTTTGCAAATATCTTTAATGTCTGGCTTAAGATGGCTGGATTTTCATATCTGCCTCTGCATTTAACCCGGTCCATCTCGCGGGTCACATAGCCTCTGCAAAATGCGAAGGGGTTCAGTGCCATTATCTCCGGGCCTGGGTAAAAGACTCAAGTCCTGGCCCCATCATACTCCCACCAATACATACCACGCCTGCGCTGTCTGCGCCTGGGTCTCGTCACCCGCAGTGAGCGGTCGCACGGCCCCACATCAGGATCGCCCTGAGGCTCAGCCTTTCCCGGCCCCATTCCGAGTGCGTACAGGACAGAACCAGCACGCCAGGCCTCTGCCCCAGAGCAGAGGGCCACGATGCGGACCCGCACAGTGCACCGCAGTGACCTGAGGAAGGAGCGACGGACGCTGGCGCCAAAGGCGTCCGAGTGCCTGGTAAACTGTAAAGCGCAGTCCTGCGTGAGTTGCTATAGCTACGGCTGCGCCAGACGCACAGCTTGCAGGACCGAGGTGCAGGTGGGAGGAGCGGAAAACTCTGCGCGTGGGCGGGGAGCCCCGACCCTCGCCGGGGCCACGTCAATCTAGGTGCTCGGCGCTCTACTGATCCGGCCCCCGGGAGTGGGCGGGCACGTTTGCCTCGGATTGTCTAACAGGCGTAGGAGAGAGCCAATGGCGTGGCTCACAGCTCCACCCCTTCTATTCGATTGGCCGGCGCCGAAAAGCCGGGCGTGAGAGCCGCAGCCTCTGGAGGGAGCCGCAGCGGGTCTCTCCCTCACTCACTCTCCGCGCTTCCCCGCTCTTCGGTTCTGCTCTGTCCGCCGCCATGGCCCAGTGAGTGACTCGCCAGGCGCAGCCGGGCTCGGCCTCAGCGGGCGGGGAACTTTTTGGTGGTCGGGATCTCCCTCGTTCTCTCCGACGCCTCCCATCCTGGGGGTCGCCTGAGCTCATTTGGGGTTCTGGGACCCTCGTCCTGCGGCGTCTCGGGCCCGGAGCTCCTTCCCTGCGGGCCCGGCCCCCTGCTCTCTTGGCCGCGCAGGCTCGGGGCGGGGCGGGTCCTTTCGACGGCCAGGGAGGAGGCGCGGCCAGGCCTCGCCGAGTCTGCAGGGACACCTGCGGGACGCGTGCCAGCCGGAGTCGGGCGCGAGGGCGGGCCTGGGGGCCGCCTGCCCGGCAGAGGCTCTGCAGCTTGCGCGCCCGGCTTCGGGGGGCCCCGGAGGCGCGGAGGAAAGTGCAAACTCCCACTCACGGCCAAACGGGGAAGGACCGGGCCCCTGGATTTCAGCGCGTCGAGCGGCGCTGACTCTTTCCTTTGTTCTGTTTCTGCCTCTCCAGAGCTGACATAGCGCTGATCGGATTGGCCGTCATGGGCCAGAACTTAATTCTGAACATGAATGACCATGGCTTTGTGGTAAGCCGCGCGGGCGCATTGTCTTCTCTTTGGTGCCCGGGCTAAGAGGCCGGCGATGGGTCTGGGAGCTCACGGGTCTCCTGGCCGTGCTTTGCGAATGCGCTCTGTTGCTGCTCATGTCTTTTTGTATGGAAAGGAGAAGCACCCTGTAGGCTTGGGCGGGCCGATCCCGACCTTAGTCCGGCGGAGTGTGCCTGTGGGTCCGTGAGGTTCACAGCCCGAATGAACGGATTAGTGTCTAGTAGAGACGAAGGGTGCGGGAGGAGAACCCCTGCTGGCTGTGTAGAGCTCTAACTTGATTGCCTGATGAGATCTGGGGAGAGTGAAAATGTTTCTTCTAAATGCTAAAGTGGCTTAGACGCCAGGATGATCAGTAGCAACAGACAGAGCCTGTTGAACCAGCCGGTTCCTGGATTTGATTTTGAGTCCTAACAGGTTGGTTGTGGATTCTACCTGATAACGTCGGGGGTAGTTGGTCTTCGCCTCGGTTCTCTGCCAGTTTCATTCTACTGAGGTGACATAACTTTACAGTGAGCCTCCCACAGCTTGGGGAGGAAAAGGCAAAGGCAGATCTGACCTCCCCAGAACTTGGGCTGAATGGAAAGGTCATTGTTACTTGGGCCACAGTCTGAAGGTCTTATGTGTCCTGGATCTCCTACTCAGGCCTTTTGTCCTTCTAGGTCTGTGCTTTTAATAGGACTGTCTCCAAAGTTGATGATTTCTTGGCCAATGAGGCAAAGGGAACCAAAGTGGTGGGTGCTCAGTCCCTGAAAGAGATGGTCTCCAAGCTGAAGAAGCCGCGGCGGATCATCCTCCTGGTGAAGGCTGGGCAAGCTGTGGATGATTTCATCGAAAAATTGGTGAGGCCAGCTCTGCTCTCAGCTGCTACCACGATAACAGCTGGTTTTGGTTTCTTCCTTTCTCCTTTTAACTCCAGAGATTTTGTTTTTCCAATTTCTGCTAAATTCTGACCAAATGATTGCTTAACTGTCGCAGTGTTGGTTAACTTGATTGGCACTTATGAAGTAACTTTGTGCTTTGGTGGTAGTAATTCTGAGAATACTAACAGACATTTCAAGAAAAATTCATTAAGGCAGGGCACAGTGGCTCAGGCCTGTAATCCCAGCACTTTTGGAGGCTGGTTCAGATGGATCACTTGAGCCCAGGAGTTCGAGACCAGCCTGGGCAACATGGCGAAACCCTGTCTTTACATAAAATAAAAAAAATTAGCTGGGTATGGTGGTGGAAGCTTATGATCCCAGGTTCAAGACCAGCCTGGCCAGCATGGTGAAACCCCATCTCTACTAAAAATATAAAAATTAGCTGGGTGTTGTGGTGCACACCTGTAATCCCAGTTACTTGGAAGGCTGAAGAATGAGAATCACTTGAACCTGGGAGGCAGAGGTTACAGTGACCTGAGATCGTGCCACTCCAGTCTGGGCAACAGAGTGAGACTCTGTCTCAAAAAAAATGAAAATAAAATCAAGATCTTCTTAGGGAATCCTAGGAAACTGGATGCTTATTTTTGTACCAAACAATTTGTTGGCTTTAGCAGGTGTATCTTTTTTGGAAAAAAAAATGTAGGGGAACCAGTGAAAATAATGTATTTAGATACCCCAAAATAATTCTGTAGTAACAGCCCTGAAAAAACCCAGGCACTACCCATTTAGAAGAAATGTTTTGCTGTAAGCAGTGCAGTGGTACCTCAGGGGAGGCTGAGCATTCCTTTTCTAGAGGAGTGACTCCTTTTCTAGAGGAGTGGCATCAACGGTGAGGTTGTTTCCACAGGAAGATGGATTTGTAACCAGTATGCCACTGTTTTTCAAACAGATGACCTAGAAAGGAAGAACACTGAGTTTAAAGAAAGGACATAGTAAATTTTTTGTGTGGCAAGCTGCCTGTGCTCAGTTTTAGACAGAGAAAACTGAAAAATGGTGGATTATTCTTCAGTATAGGAAAATAGTAAGTAATGTTAACTGGAGCCTTGTAGGGGGAAGATTGAGTAATAAATAATAAAGCCCAGCCTGGTTGGTGTGCTGTAGGTAGATATTCATGTTCAAGGCTCTGTCTCTTCCTGATCTCTGAACTGTGGTCATAAAATCATTCATTCATACACTAAAACATTTGATATGTATTTACTGAATCCCCACTCTCTTCTAGACACAGACATTACAGTCAGTGTTTAATCTATTTACTTACTTAAAAATAGAAACGGGGTCTTGCTATGCTGTCCAGGCTGGTCTCAAACTCCTGGGCTCAAGCGATTGGCCTGCCTCAACCTCCCAAAGTGTTGGGATTACAGGTGTGAGCCACTGAGCCCCGTCAGCCCTAAGCTTTTAAATAGAGTCCAACTCTAGCCACAGAGAGGATTATTGAAGATTAAATAGGCTGGGTCCATTGGCCCCCCGCCAAGCCAGGAGGATCTTTTGATTTTGAGCCCAGGAGTTTGAGACCAGCCTGGGCAACGAGACCAGCCTGGGCAATGTGGTGAGACTCCATCTCTACAAAAAAAATTTTTAAACTAACTGGGCATTGTGGTTCAAGGAGTTCAAAGTTGCAATGAGTCATGTTCACACCACTGCCGGAGTTCAGGGTTTCATTGAGCCATGTTTGCACTTCTGCATTTCAAGCTGGGCAACAGAATGAGACTCTTTTTAGACTATATTTATTTGGAATAAATTCTTGTTTTAATTTGCCAAGGTATGTTTCATTTCTGGTCCGTCTTAATGCTGGTGTCTGGTTACAGGTACCATTGTTGGACACTGGTGACATCATCATTGATGGAGGAAATTCTGAATATAGGGACACCACAGTAAGTGTTCTTCAGTCCACATTCTTCCAGGTTCTGAGAACATTCAAAAAAAGTGTCAGCATTGCATATGTGACAGTAGGGTGAACTGCCCTGTGGTCCTGAGTTTTGTGAGATTGCTACTGATGTAATAGTTCTCAGCCTTTTTTTCTGTTAAGACACACTTGGGGGCTGGGCGCGGTGGCTCACGCCTGTAATCCCAGCCCTTTGGGAGGCCGAGGTGGGTGGACCACGAGGTCAAGAGATCGAGACCATCCTGGCTAACACGGTGAAAACCCGTCTCTACTAAAAATACAAAAAATTAGCCTGGCATGGTGGCACGCTACTCAGAAGACTGAGGCAGGAGAATTGCTTGAACCCAGGAGGCAGAAGGTGCAGTGAGCCAAGTTCGTGCCACTGCACTCCAGCCTGGGCAACAGAGTGAGACTCCATCTGGAAAAAAAAAAAAAAGACACACTTGGTGGGTGAGATTCTTAGTCACACATACATCTCAGAGGATGAATACTCAGATACAGCGGGCCGAGAATTATGTTTTAACTCCTCCCCTTCCCCTTCCAAGTAATCCATGATATGTCAGTCTCTAACTGGTTTAGAACCACTCCTCTAATGGTATCAAACGCTGAGGGAAGTCCTGTGTGCTCTGAAGTACTGAGTGGCATTAAGTTGTATTAAACCTACTCTTAATTGAGTCTTATTCAAGGTCTTTTCCAGTAAAATGCCAATGTGTGTTTGGCTTAATTATTTCACTTTGGGGAAGAGGTATGTATCTTGAATGTCCGTAGTTGTTTTGTTTTAACTTCTACACATAGGGGATTAACTTTTCTGAGTCATCAGTTATTCCTAGATTCTTGGGTCATTTCCTGTCAAATGTAGGCTCTCCATACCTATCTTATACTTCCTCTCAGTTATAAGGGAAACATTTTTTGGGAGCATAATGAAACATGGAAGCATAATGAAATTATTTTTCTGTCCTTCAGAGACGGTGCCGAGACCTCAAGGCCAAGGGAATTTTATTTGTGGGGAGCGGAGTCAGTGGTGGAGAGGAAGGGGCCCGGTATGGCCCATCGCTCATGCCAGGAGGGAATAAAGAAGCGTGGTGAGTGCCGTCAGCACTGTATCCATCTCTGTACAAGGGAGCTACACTTTGAGAACAAATAAGCCAGGAGCAGTTCTGCCACCCTGATCTCTGTGGTGCCCTGAGGGTGAGACCTAGGAGATGCCGGCAATTTCTTTTATCGCTTTGATATAATATATGTGCACAATCCTCTTTTGCCTTTTTTCTTCTGTTATTTCTATCAAGACTGATACCTGAAGTTCTAAATAGGCTTTTTTTTTCTTGCCCAGGCAGGAGTGCAGTGGTGAGATCTTAGCTCACTGCAACCCCCATCTCCTGGGCTCAAGCAATTCTTATTCCTCAGCCTCCCAAGTAGCTGGGACTACAGGCGCATGCCACCATGCCTGGTTAATTTTTTGCCTTTTAGTAGAGACAGGGTTTCACCATGTTACCCTGGGTGGTCTCGAACTCCTGACCTTAGGCGATCTGCCTGCCTTGGCCTCCCAAAGTGCAGGGATTACAGGTGTGAGTCACCATGCTCAGCCTCTAAATAGGCTTTAAGGAAGCAGTTTAGATACTGTTCTGTGCAATGTCCAGATGTAGGAATAAGGTCTGCCTCTTTTTGCTGATATGTAGCCCAAAAGTAACTTTATGTAATAATCATGGGTAGTAGGCTGGGCATAGTGGCCAATGCCTATAATCCCAGCACTTTGGGAAGCTGAGGTGGGAGGATCATTTGAGCCCAGGAGTTGAAGACTAGCCTGGACAACATAGCGAGATCTTGTTTCTACAAAAAAAAAAACAAAAAAAAAATTTTTTTTGTTTTTTTTTTTGGAGTCTTGCTCTGTTGCCCAGGCTGGAGTGCAGTGGTGCGATCTCGGCTCACTGCAAGCTCCGCCTCCCGGGTTCACGCCATTCTGCTGCCTCAGCCTTCTGAGTAGCTGGGACTACAGGCGCCCACCATGCCTGGCTAATTTTTTGTATTTTCGGTAGTGACGGGGTTTCGCCATGTTAGCCAGGATGGTCTTGATCTCCTGACCTTGTGATCTGCCCGCCTCGGCCTCCCAAAGTGCTGGGATTACAGGCGTGAGCCACCACGCCTGCAATATGATTCTTTAAGCCTGGGCACGGTGGCTCATGCCTGTAATCCCAGCACTTTTGGAAGCTGAGACAGGAGGATCACTTGAGGTCAGGAGTTCAAGACCAGCCTGGCCAACATGGTGAAACCCCATCTCTACTAATAATACAAAAATTAGCCGGGCATGGTGGGGGGCCCCTGTAATCCCAGCTACCCAGGAGGGTGAGGCATGAGAATCACTTGAACCTGGGAGGCGGAGGTTGCAGTGAGCTGAGATAACACTACTGCACTCCATCATGGGTGACAGAGTGAGACTCGGTCTCAGTAAAAAAGAAAAAATGATTCTCTAAATTACCTTTCTGGTGAATGAGTCTGGGGATTCTCTTCAGTGTGTTACTAATGAAACACAGAAGTAGAGAGACCTTCCTGCTTCTCAAAAGTTTAAACTGCTGCGTGTGCAGTGGCTTGCACCTGTAGTGCCAGCTATTCAGGAGACTGAGGTGACAGAACTGCTTGAGACCAGGTGTTCAAGGCCAGCCTGGACGACATAGTGAGACCCTGTTTCTTAAGAAAAAAAAAAAGGTTTGAAAATACCTCAAAGCACCTGCACAGTGAACAGTTAGAAGGGCAACCAGCAGACAATGCACATAAAAGTATTTGACATACAGAGTGCTCCAGTTGTTTCCATCAGTTCTCTTTCCTCATACTGTGCTGGCAGAAGTACAAATGGCACCTTTACCTGAAGGACACTGTAAAAGTTCAGTAAAGCTCTGCAGTTTCCAGTGTAGCTGTCTTCATCCCTAATCCTAAATGTTAACTTTGCAACCCTGCAAGATTTCATGTCTGCACCAAGAACTTTTTGTGAGGAAGCCCTGACTGGCCAATAGGGAGCAGAACAGCGAGAGAAAGCCTCAGGAGTAATACATCCCCGTGCTGAGCTGTGGAAAGAGTGAACAGCGGCCTTTCTCTGAATGGTAATGTAGCTCTCAAAAACGCTGCCTGGTTCTTAATCCAGATGTCCAGAACCATTCTGTGCCTGGCAGCACACATCCAGACAAGTAAAAGAGGGTCTCTTCACTTGCTAAAAGCCATTATAAGGAGAAATCAAGAAAAGGGAAAAAATTAAAAGAGGATCTCTAAAGGAACTTTGGTATTGCTCGCTGTTTGCAATCATACCATCTGCTGCTGCTGTAATAGAAGTTTCTGAGCCGGGTGTGATGGCTCATGCCTGTCATCTCAGTGACTCGAGGCTGAAGTGGGAGGAGTGCTGGAGCCCAGGAGTACAAGACCAGCCACATCAACATAGGGAGACCCCGTCTCTGCAACAACAACAAAAAATTTGCCAGGCGTGGTTGCTCATGCCCATGGTCCCAGCACTTTGGGAAGCTGAAGTGTGAGGATTGCTTGAGGCCAGGAGCTCAACACCAACCTGGGCAACATAGCAAGATCCTGTCCCTACAAAAAAATGTTTTTAATTAGCTGGCTGTGATGGCACACACCTGTAGCCCCATCTACTTGGGAGGCTGAGGCAGGAGGATCATCTAAGTCCAGGAGTTTGAGGCTGCAGAGAGCCGTGATTGCGCCACTGCAGTCCAGCCTGGGCAACAGAGTGAGACCCTGTCTCTAAGAAGACATTTCTTCTGGTGCTTTGGTGATGCTTCTGCTCAGCCTTTCTGTCTGTAGTCTCAGTCTGATAGTCTAGTCTCTGCTCTGAGAGTCCGCCAGGATCTGGAGAAGGGCGCCCAGTTTCAGTCAAGGGTCTGAAGTTTAGCTTGAGAACTTAGCACATTCATTATCTTTTTTTTTTTTTTTTTTGAGACGGGAGTCTCGATCTGTCGCCCAGGCTGGAGTGCAGTGGTGCCATCTCGACTCACTGCAAGCTCCGCTTCCCAGGTTCACTCCATTCTCCTGCTGAGTAGCTGGGACTACAGGCACCTGTCACAACACCTGGCTAATTTTTTGTGTTTTTGTTAGAGACGGGGTTTCACCATGTTAGCCAGGATGGTCTCGATCTCCTGACCTTGTGATCCGCCTGCCTCGGCCTCCCAAAGTGCTGGGATTACAGGCATGAGCCACTGCGCCCAGCCCATTCATTATCTTTTTGTAGGCACTTCCACCTCCCATTAGAAACAAAAAGATGGGCCTGGTGCGGTGGTGGCTTATGCCTGTAATCCTAGCACTTTGGGTATCCATGGTGGGTGGATCACTTGAGCTTAGGAGTTTGAGACCAATCTGGGCAACATGGCAAAACCCCATCTCTACAAAATCCAAAAAAATTAGCTGGGCGTGGTGTCACACACCTGTAGTCTCAGCTACTTAGAGGGCTGAAGCAGGAAGATCACTTGAACCTGGGAGGTTGAGGAGGCTGCAGCAAGCTGAGATCACACCACTGCACTCCAGCCTGGATAACAAAATGAGACTCTGTCTCAAAAAAAAAAAAACAAAAACGGAAAAGATGGGGGTTGGTGTCTATGGGTATATAATTGGGCTCTCAGCCTGTCTCTTCTCATTAGCTGAACTGCACTGTTTCTTTCCACAGGCCCCACATCAAGACCATCTTCCAAGGCATTGCCGCAAAAGTAGGAACTGGAGAACCCTGCTGTGACTGGGCAAGTTCTGGGCTACTCTTTAAAGCCAGTTTGCAACACGAGCGTGTCTAAGTGATAAAGTGTGCAGAGAAAGGCCATCATGGTCTCCCAGTGGTTAGCTTGGTGACATAAACGTCTCAATCTTTGATTGCTAGCATAGCCAACGCCTAGAATGCATGCCTGCTGTTCACATCTTTGTATCTTAACTGACTGTTCATAGCCTTGAGGTTGATACTAAAAGCAGCCTTCTGTAATTCATCTAAAAGATGGATCCCTTAAAAAGGAATAGGATGAAGTGAAGTAACATTTTTTTTTGAGCCATATTATTTCACGGCCAAAGGAAAGAATGTCAGAATCAAAAGTGGCGTTTGCTTGCATGGGTGAAAGGAAGAGGACTGAATGTACTGTTGCCGTGTCAAATGTCCTGGCCATGAATGTGGAAAATTCCCCTTCCCATACTGTGGGATTCAGGCATTCTGTGCTTGAACAAAGTCACTTGTGGACTTGCACCCTCACTGAATGCGAAGGAGGCCTAGCCTAGTTCATAGTGCAGTGGCACCATCTCGGCTCACTGCAACCTCTGCCTCCCAGGCACCCTCCTACCTCAACCTCCTGAGTAGCTGGGACTGCAGGTGCATGCCACCACGCCTTTCCAATTTTTGTATTTTTTGTAGAGATGGGGTTTCACCATGTCGCCCAGGCTGGTCTCGAACTCCTGGACTCTCAAGTCATCTGCCTGCCTTGGCCTCCCAAAGTGCTGAGGTTACAGGCATGAGCCACCATGCCCGACCTCATGTTGCTGTTAAAGTAAACTTTATCTCATTTGTAGTTCAGCCCATGCTGTGGAAGGAAAAAAATAGGCTCAGGAGACCCGAGTGGCAATTCTGGCTTTCTGTTAACTGTGACATCAGGCAAGCCATGTCCCTTCATGGACCTCAGTTTCCTTATCTGTAAGATACGGGGTTGGACTGCATGATCTCCAAGCTCTCTTTAGCTCCTGATTCCCTTTAATTTTATATTAGCAATTTTAATGCTAATTTTCAATTTTATTTTATATCACATGAACAGTGAGGTTGAAACAAGGACTCCAGAGTCCAGGCCTCTGAGGAATCCAGGAAGCCTCCCTCCTGGGCCTGCCAGTGCTCGGCTTTGGCTACAGCAGCTCACCTGTCCTTATCTTTTCACCAGTGGTTGGCCATTGAGCTCAGTCAGAATCTGCTTAGGGTAGAAAGAGGCTGGTGCTGGGACTGACTTAAAGGGCTGAGTAATCTTCTCATTAGTATGAAGGATTGGAAAGGGACTTCTGTTCCCTGATAGTAGATGACCGTGGTAAAAGGCTGGGCGCAGTGGCTCATGCTTGTGATCCAGCATTTTGGGAGGCTCCCTTGAGACCAGGAGTCAAGGCTGCAGTGAGCAGTGATCATACCACTGCACTCCAGCCTGGGTAACAGAGTGAGACCCTGTCTCTTAAACAAAAACAAAAAGATCACTGCAGTAAAAGCAAGTGGTAGCAACTTCTTCTTTTTTTTTTTTTTTTTTTTTTTTTTTTTTTGAAACAGAGTCTTGCTCTGTCATCCAGGCTGGAGTGCAGTGGCGTAATCTCAGCTCACTGCAACTTCCGCCTCCCAGGTTCAAGTGATTCTTATGCCTCAGCCTCCAGTGTAGCTGGGATGACAGGCATGTGCCACCATGCCTGGCTAATTTTTGTATTTTTGGTAGAGATGGGGTTTCACCATGTTGCCCAGGCTGGTCTTGAACTCCTGGCTTCAAGTAATTGGCCACCTCGGCCTCCCAAAGTGTTGGGATTATAGGTGTGAGCCATCGCACGCAGCCTGCAATTTCTTTTTATATACACACACTTAGGACAAAGTCATGAAGAGAAGCACCGTCCTTGCTTCTACGTGTGTTGATCAAGCAGGTGCTCCTTAGTTCATGGCTGAAGTGGCAGGAAGGGTAAGGTAAAGTAAGATATTAGTAGCCATGTTACTGCATGACCAGAGTGTCAAAATCAGAAGTCGGCGGGGGCAGCAATAGAAACATGGACAAGGCCAGGCATGGTGGCTCATGCCTGGAATCCCAGCACTGTGAGAGGCTGAGGTGGGTGGATCACCTGAGGTCAGCAGTTTGAGACCAGCCTGGCCAACATGGTGAAACCCCATCTCTACAAAAATACAAAAATTAGCCGAGTGTGGTAGTGTGCTCCTGTAATCCCAGCTTATCGGGAGGCTGAGGCGTTAGAATTGCGTGAACCCAGGAGGCAGAGGTTGTGGTGAGCCAAGATCACACTGCCACACTCCACACTCCAGCCTGGGCGACAGAGTGAGACTCCGTCTCAAAACAAAGAGAAACATGGACAGTGGAGTCCTGATGTAAGCGTCAGTTGTATTGGTCCAGGTGCTGACAGCCAGGAGAGAGACTGCCACGCCATCCAAACACCTGGCCTCCTGGGCAGGTGGCTCCCTGTCATGGAGCTGGGTGTAGATGACTGAGAGCCTGATGCCATGAACTGTTTGGCTCTCATCACTCCCTTTGTTCCAGTTCCTTGATAACTAAATCATTTTCAGATAATCTGGCTTCCCAGTTGCTTGTCTGTAGGGATAGACTCTGTTGACCAGACTAACATTTGTAACCACGAAGATCCATAGTTAAGGTTTTCATCCTACATTCATAAGCTGGTATTCTGATCTTATATATCTTGCCAGCTTATCAATAAAGATCTGGTCAATGATGGGGCCTTGGAAGGACTCCTTTCTGGGCTTACAAGGTTGAAACCTTGGATCTAGGGTCATTTTACTTTTCAGTAGCCATTAGAAACAACTACATTTATATTTTGAAAAAACAAAAGTGATTTAATTAGCCAATATATTTTAACCTATAGTTGCTAGAAAAGTGGTAACTTTGGGGAAAAAAGGACTTTTTTTCTTATGGGTAGGGGCTGGGAAGGCGGGGAGTTGCTTTGAATGATGAGAAAGACTAGAAAATACAGGCTAGAAAGCTATAGGTATTGAGAGTGAATTCAGGGACTTTGAGGAACCTTGAGAAGAATGAGTCTAGAATTAGTGTTAAATAATACTGTTCTGGATTGAAGCTCGTATTGAATTGCTATATGCTTCTTGTATCAAAAATACTGTATTCATTTTATACTTGTTATTTTTTGTGTGGAGAGGTAGCCTTGCCAGGGACGTTGGCGTCAAAGCTGATGTGGACTTCTCTGGTGTGTCACCTGTCTCTCTGAAGGCCTCTGGGTGCTTGTCCTGACAGGTGGGAGATGAGGGAGCAGGCCACTTCGTAAAGATGGTGCACAACGGGATAGAGTATGGAGACATGCAGCTGATCTGTGAGGCATACCACCTGATGAAAGACGTGCTGGGCATGGCGCAGGACGAGATGGCCCAGGTGAGGCCCCGGCACTGCCTCTGTGTCCATTCTGCAGGGAGTGCTCACTTTGCCATGGACACTGAATCTTTTCTTCATTCCTATCCCCTTGGCCGTTCTGGTGGCCTGCATGGACTCAGCCTAATTTAAGGGAAACTGTTAGGAATAGGGCTGTACGCTATGCTACTTAGTCACTAAGCAGAAAGTCCCCACAGAGTCTGGGTGGTTATCATCGCCACCGTTTAGCGTAACTGACCTGGTGTCAGGCACTGTGTCACTCCACATACCTGTCTCATTTACTCCACAGTTGTCCCACATGGCAGGTGCAGCAGCAGCTTTCTTTTCTCATCCAGTTGGGATTGGCATTTTGATAGTTAATCCAAAAAGTCAGTCCACGTAGGGGCACCAAAGCATTTCCCCCAATATTTTATTATGAAAACATCCAAACATGCAGCACAGAAGCTGAGAGTTTTACAGTGAACACCTGGACACACACCGCCTCCTTTCTCCCGCCCACAGCTTCCTGTACGAGCCTTATCAGTGTCTGTCCACCCCCCACCAATTTCATCTCAGTTTTTGGATACATTCAAAGTAAACTGCAGGTATCCATACTTTTGTTTTCCCTAAATACTTTAGATGAATGTATCTTTATCATGAGGTAAACATAGATTTTAACAGAAAACACAGGAAAGGACCTTCATTCACCCATCATTTTTTGTAGGGCCAAGGCCTTCTCGTTAAGTATGGTTTGCTGATGCGCTTTCTAGTCATGTCTTACCATCTAGAATTTCTAGTTTCAGTTATTTCTAATGGGAAATGATTTACAGACACTAGCAAGGCATACAGGATAGAAGCTTTCCAGGTTTTTTGTTGATTTCCTCCGAGTTTTTTATTCGTGTCATCCTCACTTATTTTGACTATTGTTTGTTCCACTGGCTTGCTGTTAATTGTTCTAAAACATTACCTTAGTTTTCTTTCACAGAAAAAATGCTTTTCTTTTTGTGTTCATTTTTAATTGGTGTATATAATATTTAATGTGTTCGCTTAGCAAACACACGAGTGCTTTACTATATGCCAGGCATGATTCTAAATGCTGGGGATATACTAGTGAAGAAAGCAAAGTGCCTGCCCTCCTGGAGCTGGGAAGACAGAGAGAAATAAACAAACAATATCAAACTAGTTAGCGATGACTGTGAGAGTGAAGAGTAAACTGGGACGAGATCGGGTGATTGCAGAAGGCTTCTGGGGAGGCGACCACACAGAGACATAAGTGAAGTGAGGAGCCCTTGGCTCTGAGGAGACAACACTTCTGGTGGCCAGAAATTCAGCATAACCAGGTTCAGAACAAACACAACTGACTCTGGGTTAGCATAAAACTCAACCAGCAGGAGCAGAAGTCCCCAGGCAGACGCGAGCAGAGCCTGCTGGCAACCGTGAACACTGGTCAGCATGGACATTGGACAAGGGGCTTCCTTGCACAGCCCTCATTCCTCTAACATGGTTCTCCCCTGTGTTCTGCACATAGGCCTTTGAGGATTGGAATAAGACAGAGCTAGACTCATTCCTGATTGAAATCACAGCCAATATACTCAAGTTCCAAGACACCGATGGCAAACACCTGCTGCCAAAGATCAGGGACAGCGCGGGGCAGAAGGGCACGGGGAAGTGGACCGCCATCTCCGCCCTGGAGTACGGCGTACCCGTCACCCTCATTGGTAATGTTATGCTTTTCACTTGGGCCCTTTTGTCCACTGTTCTGATCTTGATATCTGGAGGACTGATACAGACTGGTCTTTAGAGAATCTCTTCAGCCCTCTTGAGCTTTCAGAGTGCCTTTTGCTCTTTCTTGTGTTGAAGAAGCTGACAGTGTGAGAGAGGCTGACACTGCTTTTGATTCTCTTCTTTGTAGTTCTTATCTTATTCATACAAACGGTGAGGTAAATTCAGAAGTGACTGTCCTTCCTATCCAGTTTTATCTTTGGAATATTTTAGCATTAGTGATGTAATTGTAGTCAGTGATCTAAGATCTTATTTATGAGGCAGGTAACTTCAGTGAAATTTTTCATAGAAAAGTTCATCAATAACAGGGCCAGGCACAGTGGTTCACGCCTGTAATCCCAGCACTTTGGGAGACCGAGGCGGGTGGATCACAAGGTCAGGAGATCGAGACCATCCTGGCTAACACAATGAAACCCCGTCTCTACTAAAAATACAAAAAATTAGCTGGGTGTGGTGGCAGGCACCTGTAGTCCCAGCTGCTCGGGAGGCTGAGGCAGGAGAATCACTTGAACCCAGGAGGCAGAGGTTGCAGTGAGCCGAGATGGCACCACTGCACTCCAGCCTAGGCGACAGAGCGAGACTCCATCTCAGAAAAAAAGAAAAATTAGCCGGGCATGGTGGCAGGTGCCTATAATCCCAGCTACTCAGAAGGTTGAGGCATGAGAATCCCTTGAACCCAGGAGGCAGAGGTTGCAGTGAGCAGAGATCGTGCCACTGCACTCCAGCCTGGGCATCAGAATGACACTCCATCCCCCCGCCAAAAAAAGTTCATGAATAACATAGGCTTATGTACTCAGAAATTATTAAAATTTTCCTTTTTTCCCCCTAGATATTAAAAAAATAAAAATTACCTATCCATTTGAGTCCTTGTTGTTTTGCTAAGTTCCTTCCCCTTCCTCTTTTAGAAGAAAGCCACTATCCTGAAGTTGGTCTGTATCCTGCCCACTTGTTTTTATCTTACATTAATGAGCTAAGCATCAAACTCAGATAAGGAAATAATAAAAGAAATAGAAAACAAGAGGGGATTAACAATATCAAAATCTTGGCAGTGGGTGGGGGGGGTTTGGTTTTTTTGTGTGTATATGTTTGTTTCTTGAGACAGAGTCTTGCTCTGTCGCCCAGGCTGGAGTTCAGTGGCATGATCTTGGCTCACTGCAACCTCCGCCTCTCAGGTTTAAGTGATTATCCTGCCTCCGCCTCCCGAGTAGCTGGGATTACAGGCATGCGCTACCATGCCTGGCTAATTTTTGTATATTATTAGTGGAGACGGGGTTTCACCATATTGGTCAGGCTGGTCTCGAACTCCTAACCTCAGGGGATCTGCCCGCCTCGGCTTCCCAAAGTGCTGGGATTGCAGGCATGATTCACCGTGCCCGGCAAAGTTGGTTCTTTAAGAGTAAAATGGCCGGGCACGGTGGCTCAAGCCTGTAATCCCAGCACTTTGGGAGGCCGAGACGGGCGGATCACGAGGTCAGGAGATCGAGACCAGCCTGGCTAACACGGTGAAACCCCATCTCTACTAAAAATACAAAAATTAGGTGGGCGTGGTGTTGCGCGCCTGTAATCCCAGCCAGTCAGGAGGCTGAGGCAGGAGAATCACTTGAACCCGGGAGGCGGAATTTGCAACGAGCCGAGATGGCACCACTGCACTCCAGCCTGGGTGACAAGAGTGAGACTCCACCTCAAAAATAAGAAAACAGAATTTTTCCTGTTTGCTCCTCTAGATACAGGTTGCCTTTCTCTCCCTAGACTCTTCTCACCTTTTGACCTCCCTGTTTATTGCGCCTCGCCTTATTGATGAACTGTGGTGTAAGGCAGAGTAAGGAGGGAAGTCGGTGGTTTCTACAGTTTGGTGCTGTGTAGGAGGAAGTTGGCTGCTTTTAGCAGATCTGAGCCATAACATAGGTGAGGAGGGAGGGGCCAATAGCTAGGAGCATGGACTCAAGTATATGTGGATGAGGGCCGGGGGCCGGAAGGGGAGGGGTATGTGGGGATGGCTGGGGGGCAGCCCAGATAAGACTTTCAACACTGGGCAGCAGCGTCTACACAGGCGGTCTGTGTAGATCCCTGCATCTCACTTCCCGCAGGGCTGACCAGTGGCCAGAGGTGGGACTGGCCAGGTTCGGCCCAGCCAAGTCTGGGAGCAGAGGACACTGAGTGAGGGATCCCCCGGGCCACCCTCACTGGGCTGTGGCTCTCCTGACACCACAAGAGAGGTCCAGGAGCTCCTACTCTCCTCCTGTGGATCCATATACCCCTTCACCCAGGGTGGCTGGGCCCACCCCCTGGCTGAGAGCCATCATTTGTGAACTAACAGGGAAGTCTTCCAGCTGCCCTCTTCCCCCTGTAACAGGAAGGGTTTGCTTCATCACCCGTTGCACCAGTCATCTTACAAAGCTTCCTTCTAGAAATGCTAAGTCATCCTGTGTGTGCATTTGGGCCAGGAGAGAGGTAGCTGCTTTCGTGTGTTTTGAGTAGGGTTAGCAATCTCAAGCCATAGCTGCTCCTCTTTCCTGAGAAATACAGTCCTCTGTTAGTTCCCCGAGATTTTACTTCATTTTGTCTGTGGGGGAAAAGTGGCTGAAGAGTCATAGATTCTAACAATAAATTGTCAGTTGGGCAAGTAGTCTTTTATAAGGCATACTTTCTGAAAATACTAAATGTCTTAATGTTAAAGTACTACATTGACTTTTTAATTCAAATGAAGTAAAGTGGTGAAACTTTAATGACTACAGCTATACTGAAAACCGTAAAATATAAAAAACCTAACATTTCTTTGAGAGCTGTCTGTAAATGTGACTTCTCAATGTAAAATCTTAAAAAAAAAAAAATTAAAGTCCTCTAAATTGAATTTGAAATTTTACTCATGGACCAACACTGAGTATTCTACATAACAGTGGTTTTTATTTTATTTTCCTGGTTTTAGAGACAGCGTCTCACTCTTGCCCAAGCTGGAGAGCAGTGGTGGGATCATGGCTCACTGTAGCCTTGAACTCCTGGGCTCAAGTGATCCTCCCACCTCAGCCTCCCAACGTGCTGGGATGACAGGTGTGAGCCACCACGCACAGCCATAACAATGGTTTTTATCTCTTCATTTTCCCTCAAAACTCCCTTTTGAATGTCACGTTCATCTTTGTGGTTGGATACTCATATTTATATTGGAAGATTGTCTTGGAGTTTTGGTTATCAAATTAACTGTTTAGAGCTTCTGATAAAAGTTCCTTCTGATCCATGTCAACTTTCGTGGCCTAAGGTTGAAACTTTCAGCGCTTTGTATAAACAGACTTTCCTGCTCCATCTTTCATCTGGTTGCTATGTGAACTTTGGTAATTTTCACGCACGCCCGTGTGAAAAGACCACCAGACAGGCTTTGTGTGAGCAATAAAGCTTTTTAATCACCTGGATGCAGGTGGGCTGAGTCTGAAAAGAGTCAGCGAAGGGAGAGCAGTGGGGCCGTTTTATAGGATTTGGGTGGGTAGTGGAGAATTACAGTCAAAGGGGGTTTTTCTCTTACGGGCAGGGGCAGGGGTCACAAGGTGCTCAGTGGGGGAGCTTCTGAGCTAGGAGAAGGAATTTCACAAGGTTAATTGCTCAGTTCCGGTGGGGCAGGAGCAAATCACAATGGTGGAATGTCATCAGTGAAGGCAGGAACCGGCCATTTTCACTTCTTTTGTGATTCTTCACTTACTTCAGGCCATCTGGATGTATTCGTGCAGGTCACAGGGATATGATGGCTTAGCTTGGGCTCAGAGGCCTGACAGTAATCTGTTTCCTCTTCCCGATCCCCCCTTGTAGGAGAAGCTGTCTTTGCTCGGTGCTTATCATCTCTGAAGGATGAGAGAATTCAAGCTAGCAAAAAGCTGAAGGGTCCCCAGAAGTTCCAGTTTGATGGTGATAAGAAATCATTCCTGGAGGACATTCGGAAGGTGGGACACAGTCCCTGGCAGTGGTCTTTGTTGGTCCCGTGGAAGGCAGTGGGGGTGGGGATTGTTGTGGGAGAACACGCGAGGCCACGGGATGCCAGGTGGAATGAAGTTCAACCTTCACTTAGATCTTGACTTACAGCTTTTTCCTAGAATCTTGTCCCTTCTGGGATCTCCACTGCTGATGAGAATAAGACTGATAGACACGAGGCGGTCACTCTCCTAATGGCAATCCTAACAGGTCTCTGTGTCACTCTTCAGGCCCTCTATGCTTCCAAGATCATCTCTTATGCTCAAGGCTTTATGCTGCTAAGGCAGGCAGCTACCGAGTTTGGCTGGACCCTCAATTATGGTGGCATTGCCCTAATGTGGAGAGGGGGCTGCATCATCAGAAGGTAAGTGAGAGGCAGCCCAGGGTCCGACGGGAAGGATTCATGCTGCTGTGCAGAAGTGCGATCTTAGGACACTCAGCTTGATCAGTTTCCAGGGGTGGGCAATTAGCCCCATCACTGGGCACAGGCAGCAAGATAGGTTTAGATTTTGTGGCTCCCTTCTTCACTATACCTCAGTTGCTCTACCTAGATTGTCCACACTACACCTTTTTTTTAAGTAGTTCTGTGAGAACTGTCATGCCCTCTGGCCTTGCCTCTTGGGACTTTTGCTGTGTATTTTCATTGGAAATGTCAAATCATAGAAAACGTAGCATTCCTACACATGACGTTACATCATTCTCATGCTGGCTGAAGATTCATTTGATGAATCTGATTTTTCTGAAATAGATGATTCTGGTGATTCAGATGATTCTAATATTAGTTCTCTTTAGAAATAACTCCAAGAATAGTTTTTATATTTTATTTTCACATTGAAAATCAGTCAGATTTGCTTCAGCCTCAAAAAGCGTGTTTAAGTAAAATTAAATGAGCACTGGCAGGGAGCTGTACTTTTTATCTAAACAGGAAAAGGGTTAACAGCTGGCTCGAAGAGATAAGAAATGTAACTTTGTACTTCACTAGGGTATACATCGGCTTCCAACTTACTTCCCTGTTAGAGTTAAGATTCATTGCTTTCGGCCTGGTGCGGTGGCTCACGCCTGTAATCCCAGCATTTTGGGAGGCTGAGGCAGGTGGATCACAAGGTCAGGAGATCGAGACCATCCTGTCTAACACGGTGAAACCCTGTCTTTACTAAAAGTACAAAAATGAGCTGGGCGTAGTGGTGCGTACCTGTAATCCCAGCTACTTGGGAGGCTGAAGCAGGAGAATCGCTTGAACCTGGGAGGCAGAGGTTGCAGTGAGCTGAGATCATGCCACTGCATTCCAGCCTGGTGACAGAGCGGGACTCCGTCAAAAAAAAAAAAAAAAGATTCATTGCTTTTTTCCCTCCTCGATTATTTCAGTGTATTCCTAGGAAAGATAAAGGATGCATTTGATCGAAACCCGGAACTTCAGAACCTCCTACTGGACGACTTCTTTAAGTCAGCTGTTGAAAACTGCCAGGTACGTAGCCTAGAGCTGGCGCCATGGTTACTCTACCTCCCTGGGGCCATCAGTTGTGTTTTTTTGTTTGTTTGTTTTTTGAGACGGAGTCTTGCTCTGTCTCCCAGGCTGGAGTGCAGTGGCCCTGCAATCTCCACCTCCTGGGTTCAAGTGATTCTCCTGCCTCAGCCTCCTAAGTAGCTGGGATTACAGGCATGCCACCATGCCCAGCTAATTTTTTTTTTTTTTTTGTATTTTTACTAGAGATGGAGTTTCACCATGTTGGTCAGGCTCATGTTGAACTCCTAACCTCGTGATCCACCCGCCTCAGCCTCCCAAAGTGCTAGGATTACAGGCGTGCACCACCGTGCCCAGCCTCACCATCAGTTTTTCATTTACCCACATTGATGTGAATAAAAATCTGTCAGCATCACCAGGGGCAGATCACTAACCTCTGGCCATGCATTTTGTGCTCAGGACTCCTGGCGGCGAGCAGTCAGCACTGGGGTCCAGGCTGGCATTCCCATGCCCTGTTTTACTACTGCCCTCTCCTTCTACGATGGGTACAGACATGAGATGCTTCCAGCCAACCTCATCCAGGTAAGCCTGTGGAGCAGGGGTTAACCTGGCTGGCCGCTGGGGGACGTGTGCCATGGACTGTCCTGACTCCCTCGTTTCCTAGGCGCAGCGGGATTACTTCGGGGCTCACACCTATGAACTGTTGGCCAAACCAGGGCAGTTTATCCACACCAACTGGACAGGCCACGGTGGCAGTGTGTCATCCTCGTCATACAATGCCTGATGGTGCTGCTCCTGTCACCCTCCACGATTCCACAGACCAGGACATTCCATGTGCCTCATGGCACTGCCACCTAGCCCTTTGCCCTATTTTCTGTTCAGATCTTTTTTTAAAGTGTTGTTAGAGACTCCTGAGGAAGACACACAGTTTATTTGTAAAGTAGCTCTGTGAGAGCCACCGTGCCCTCTGCCCTTGCCTCTTGGGACTGAGCAGGAGCTGCTCATGTGCGTGAGAGTGGGAACCATCTCCTTGCGGCAGTGGCTTCCGCCTGCCCCATGTGCTGGTGCGGTTCCCATCACGCAGTCGGGAAGGATGTTTGTGCACTCGGATCAACTGGAACCTCTATCATGCGGCTGAATTCCCTTTTCCCTTTACTCAATAAAAGCTACATTAGACTGATGCTCTTTCTCCAGATTCTTAGTCTCGCCTCGGCCGCATGGAGCCATTATCCCCATTGGCAGAAAGATTTTTCTTTAAAAACAAAGACTAGAATAACAAGAAACACCACATTTAGGATCATGCTTCACTCGGAGGTGGCAGGCAGGGAGGGCGCACCAGAGGCTGTAATACACTGGGCGTGTTCTCTTTCTCCAGTTGGGCAGTGGGTACGTGGATGTTCACTGTAACGTGCTTTTTCTTTCGTCTTTTTTTTTTTTTTTCCTGCTCCTGGCAAGCTGTGCGTGACATTCGTTATGCCTTTTTGTATGTCAAATACTTCATAATAAACTTTCTAGAGAATTACGCTTTAATGAATGGCTGAGCTTGGTCTGATTGATTTCCTTTCCCACACCTGTCTCTACTTGCTTTAAGTCAGGCCCAGGGATTCAGCGTGGGATTTTGAACAATCTAAGCCTGCTCCTTAAACTAGGCTTTTCACTTTTATCTTATTTACTCAGAAAAAATAAACCCTGCCGGCAAACTGATACGGTTGTGTGGCCTGGGGCCAATGTAACTGTTTCCTTGCCACGGTTTGACTTCATGATGATTTCCCTGGAGTGCTAAGAAAGTCCTAAGAGTTGCCTAAGCGGAGCAAACAGCGCCTGTGCCTCAACAGCTGGTGTCTACAGTATGACCTCTCACCTCTCAGGGCTAATGTGAAGGAGACAGTTTTCATTAAATCAATGTAAAAAAAAATTTTTTTTTTTTTTTTTTGAGATAGAGCCTTGCTCTGTCTCCCAGGCTGGAGTGCAGTGGTGCGATCTCAGCTCACTGCAAGCTCCGCCTCCCGGATTCACGCCATTCTCCCGCCTAAGCCTCCCGAGTAGCTGGGACTACAGGCACCCGCCACCTTGCCCAGCTAATTTTTTTATATTTTTAGTAGAGACGGGGTTTCATCGTGTTAGCCAGGATGGTCTCGATCTCTTGACCTCGTGATCCGCCTGCCTGGGCCTCCCAAAGTGTTGGGATTACAGGCGTGAGCCACCGTATTTTAAAATTTTGTTTAGAGATGTCTCGCTACGATGCCCAGGCTGATGTCAGACTCCTGGGCTCAAGCGATGCTCCTGCCTCGGCCTCCCAAGGTGCTGGGATCACAGGCAGGAGCCACCGTGCCCCGCTACCAACTTTTTAAACTCAGCCTAGATGTGAGTTATTCGCTAGATCAGCCCCCACTCACCCCTCCTGCCCTCCCTGTACGATTAAGAGAAGCCCGAGTAGCCGCATGTGACGGGATTGTTCTTTAAGGGTTGTGAAAGGCACTGTTCAGTGGGGATCTTTTGACCTGGCTCTGAGGGTGATGGATGGACGCTGCTGGAAGGGAGAGAGAACAGCAGGAGGTCAGAGACTAAGTGTCAAAGGGCCCATGATGTTTGAAATGGTAATGATCAGAAGGGAATCCACTCAGGCCCTTTCCGCTTACCTTCCAAAAAGCTGTGAGTGGTGGAGTTTGGTTTCAAATTCAGCCCTCTTTGCTTACTAGCTATTAGACTTTGGGGAAATTATTTACTATCTGCTGTGTTCTCAGTTTTCTCATTTATAAAATGGGAAATAATAGCACCTGTGTCCTTGAGGCTATTCTGGGGTTTCACCAAGGGAAAACAGAACGGTGCCTGGCACATAGTAAATACCTACACAAGTGGCAGCAAGGCTGGGTGCGGTGGCTCACACCTGTAATCCCAGCACTTTGGAAGGCTGAGGTGGGAGGACTGCTTGAGCCCAGGAGTTTGAGACCAGCCTGGGCAACATAGTGAGACCCCCATCTCTACAAAAAATAAAAATTAGCTGGGCGCAGTGGTGCACACCTATGATCCCAGTCACCTGGCAGGCTGAGGTGGGAGGATCGCTTGAGCCCAGGAGATCCAGGTTGCAGAGACCCATGATCACACCACTGTACTCCAGCCTAGGTGATAAAGCAAAACCGTCTCAAAAAAAAAAAAAACAAAAAACAAAAAAAAAGGGGCAGCAATTACTACCATTGAGTGTGCCTGACCCCTGGACCCCTGGAGCAGTGGTGGGTTTTTAAACTGGGTCTTGCTCTTGCCCAGGCTGGAGTGCAGTGATTCGATCACTGCTCACTGCAACTTTGAACTCCCCGAATTCAGGGGGTCCTCCTGCCTCAGCCTCCCGAGTAGCTGGGTCTACAGGCATGTGCCACCACGTCCCACTCATTTGTTGTATTTTTTGTACAGACAAGGTCTGGCCATGTTGCCTAGGCTGGTCTCGAACTCCTGGGCTCAAGTGATGCTGCACCCACCTCGGCCTCCCAAAGTGCTGGGATTTCAGGCATGAGCCACCGCGCCCGGCTGCAGTGGTGTTTCTACAGACAGAAACCAGATGTTACCGCTCAGCACCAGTGATGAATTTGCTTTGCACCCCAGTCTTCAAAAGGTTTCTAGTGGGGGTGACTCTGTGTGCTGCGCAGCAGGTGTAGAGGTTAAGAAAGGTCAGAGCTGGCCGGGCACGGTGGCTCAAGCCTGTAATCCTAGCACTTTGGGAGGCCGAGACGGGTGGATCACGAGGTCAGGAGATCGAGACCATCCTGGCTAAAACGGTGAAACTCTGTCTCTACTAAAAAATACAAAAAACTAGCCGGGTGAGGTGGCGGGCGCCTGTAGTCCCAGCTACTCGGGAGGCTGAGGCAGGAGAATGGCCTGAACCCGGGAGGCGGAGCTTGCAGTGAGCTGAGATCCGGCCACTGCACTCCAGCCTGGGCAACAGAGCAAGACTCCGTATCAAAAAAAAAAAAAAAAGGTCAGAGCTGCTCAACCTAACCTGCTTGCGACTCCCCCACTCCCACCCTGCCACCCCACTGAGATTTGAAAAAATACAGATTCTGATTCAGCAGAATCCTGAAAATGGCTCTTCGTGGGGTGCAGCCCCATGTTCTGCATTTCTCTTTTTTTTGAGACAAGGTCTCGTTCTGTGGCCCAGGCTGGAGTGCAGAGGCACTATCACAGCTCACTGCAGCCTCAACCTCCTGGGCTCAGGTGATCCTCCTAACTCAGCCTCCTGGCTAGCTGGGACTCCGCTTGCACACCACCACGTCTGGCTAATTTCTAAACTTTTTGTAGAGATGGGCTCTCCCTATGTTGCCCAGGCTGATCAACTCCTGGGCTCAAGCGATCCTCCGGCCTCAGCCTCCCAAGTGCTGAGACCACAGGCAGGAACCACCATGCCTGGGCCTGGGCTCCAATCTTGGTTCCGCCACAAATTCAGTCTTACTTCACAAGTTAGTTAACCTCTGTGTGTATCTTCTCATCTATATAAAAGGGATGATAATAACACCCCTCACAGAGCCGTCTTCAGGATGAAACACAAGGCACTTGCACCACAGCCGGCCACACAGTGAGCACCGTGTAAGGTTCACTGTTTATTACATGCCTCCTGAAGGGACCTTGCTAGACAATTCTGAGTGTGGAAGGAGGTGGAAAGATGAAATGTGCACACCGACAGGTCAGTCTCAGCTCACTACAACCTCCGCCTCCCAGGCAAGCGATTCTCTTGCCTCAGCCTCCCGAGAGCTGAGATTACAGGCGCACGCCACCATGCCCGGCTAATTTTTGTATTTTTAGTAGAGATGGGGTTTCACCATGTTGGCCAAGCTGGTCACAAACTCCTGACCTCAGGTGATCCACCCGCCTCAGCCTCCCAGAGTGCTGGGAATACAGGTGTGAGCCACCACGCCTGGCCAAGATTGATTTTTGTATTGACATTTTACAGTGCAGTTTTTGTTTTTTTTGAGATGGAGTTTCACTCTTGTTGCCCAGGCTGGAGTGCAATGTACGATCTCAGCTCACCGCAACCTCCGTCTCCCAGGTTCAAGCGATTCTCCTGCCTCAGCCTCCCCAGTAGTTGGGACTACAGACATGCAGCACCACTCCCGGCTAATTTTTCTTTTTGCATTTTTGTAGAGATGGGGTTTCTCCATTTTGGTCAGGCTGGTCTCGAACTCCTGACCTCAGATGATCCACCTGCCTCGGCTTCCCAAAGCGCTGGGATTAACAGGTGTGAGTGAGCCACCGCGCCCGGCCAATTACAGTGCAATTTTAAGAAAAACAAGTAATTGGCCGGGCGTGGTGGCTCAAGCCTGTAATCCCAGCACTTTGGGAGGCCAAGATGGGTGGATCATGAGGTCAGGAGATCGAGACCATCCTGGCTAACACGGTGAAACCCCATCTCTACTAAAAAATACAAAGAACTAGCCAGGCGAGGTGGCGGGCGCCTGTAGTCCCAGCTACTCGGGAGGCTGAGGCAGGAGAATGGCGTGAACCTGGGAGGCGGAGCTTGCAGTGAGCCGAGATCCGGCCACTGCACTCCATCCTGGGCGACAGAGCGAGACTCCGTCTCAAAAAAAAAAAAAAAAAAAAAAAGAAAACCAAGTAATTGCTATTAAACTTAATATTTATGGAACCCTCCTTAATGCAGATGAAAAGGATGAAAGAAACCCACAAAGGTCTTTGTCTTATTTATGGTGAGGGCAGTGGACAAAGCGGAAGCTCAGAAACTAGCCCGCTCATAATCAAATCTGGGCTCTACCACTTCCCGGTAGTTTAGCCTCGGGCAGAGTTCTTTCACCCGTTTCCTCATGTAAAATGGGGCTAACAGCACCTACTTTTGAGGGCAGATGAGATATTAAATGAGTGCCTAGAGCGAGGACAGGTGCAAAGTGCTCAGTGTCACGGCAACATTGCCGGCGGGCATCCCTGGCCTTGTTTCACGCTGTAGTGCAACACTGACACCTAGTGGTCAGATTATACGGCTACTTCTTCAGCAAGAAAGTGTTTCAACCAAATATTAGTATATCCTTTTTTCATTATTATTATTTTTTTTGGAGACAGTGTCTCCCTCTGTCACCCAGGCTGGAACGCAGTGGTGCAATCATGGCTCACTGTAGCCTTGAACTGGGCTCAAGTGATCCTCTTGCCTTGGTCACCGTGTTGGGATTACAGGCTTGAACCACCACACCCAGCTCCATTTTCTGTAATGAATACCTCAGCCCTCGACCTATTTCTCAGACCCTTTTTTTTTTTTTTGAGACAGAGTCTTGCTTTGTCGCCCAGGCTGGAGTGCAATGATGCGATCTCAGCTCACTGCAACCTTCACCTCCTGGGTTCAAGTAATCCTCCTGCCTTAGCCTCCCAAGTGCTGGGATTACAAGCATGTGCCACCATGTCCGGCTAATTTTTGTATTTTTTTCGTAGAGACGGGGTTTCATCATGTTGGCCAGGCTGGTCTCGAACTCCTGACCTCAAGTGATCTACCCACCTCGGCCTCCCAAAGTGCAGGAATTACAGATATAAGCCACCGCTCCTGGCCTCTGAGACTCTTAAGTGCCTCTGTATTGCACATATGTCACTGGAATAATGTTCTTTAATCCTGGGAAGCAACTGCTTTAAAATGAGGGAACACACAGGTACGAAGCACAGGAACTGCCTGGGACGAACTGTTAACTATTTCTTTAGCTCTTATGGGAGGCAATTGTTCAAAACCTCACACCTGCCTTGTGAGGTTGGAACTACTGTCCCCAATTGATAAATGACGACATGAAGTTTGGCCAGGTCCTGTGACTTGCTTGGGGTCACCAGGTTCGAGGGAGGGAGCTGGGCTCTGCAGCCACGGTGTGCTCTAGAGTGGGACTGCTCACCAACCAGCGCCCGGCCTGCTCTCCTGCTGCAGGCTTGGGCTCACCCTGGATGGTCTGCCCTGCCCAGCCCCACACTGCCCACTAGGGAAATTCATCAGAGGCCTCCTCTGCTTGGGCTGGAGGACTGTCCAGGTAGACTGGGATGCCCACAGGGAGCAGCGGACAGAGGCGAGAAATGCCTGTCATTTCCAGATGCCACCCACAGAGCAGGGGCAAAGGAAAGTCCTCAGAAGGCTGATTGCTCCAATCAGCTTTGATCTGGGGTTCAGCCCTCGGCAAGCTTAGGGAACTTGAGGGATGTCTATGAGAAAGGAAGACAGGAATGGCTTTATGAGATTTCCTTCCGTTCTAAAAGTAGCACCTGCTCGTGACAAATGCAGAATACAGAAATATAAGCAATAAACAAAAAATAATGAAACAAAACAAAAACCTAGAAATACAGGCAGGGCATGGTGGCTCACACCTGTAATTCCAGCACTTTGGGAGGCTGAGGTGGGATGATTGTTTGAAGCCAGGAGTTTGATACCAGCCTGGGCAACAATAGTGAGACCTGGTCTCCACAAAAAATAGAAATTAGCCAGGTGCGCTGATGCGGGCTTGTGGTCCCAGCTACTTGGGAGGCTGGAGTGGGAGGATCACCTGAGCCCAGGAGGTGGAGGTTACAGTAAGCCTTGGTCGTGCCACTGCACTCCAGCCTGGGCGGCACAGCGAGACCCCTGCCTCTCAAAAAACAATGAAAACAAACCAAAATTGGGTTTGATGGTTTCACTTCATTGTTAACATAAAGGAAAAGCAGTAACCTTCGTGTCAGAATTATACTCCTGTCGATGGCAACAAGGCAGTTCCTGTTCCACAAGCTGAATGAGGTCACGGGGCGTTCATTCATTGTAGTCTGACTTTGTGACGCTATTGTTGGTGATAGAATGATAAAGTTGATGGTGGATTTTGCAAGATACACCTGAGGTACAGGTGCTTGGAGCTCTTGATAATGTGTACTGCGTTACATGATCTGTAAATCGTGGGCTATGCATCCTTTACACTAGACTGGAACACCTATGCACACACCTATGCACACATGTGTTTCGCGGAGAGTGGTGCTCAGCGCTGTGCCAGGTGCTGAATTAGGCTCTGGGGTGCAGCAGTGACCTGGGTGGTCATGTCTCCGCCTCGCCCGGCCACCTCCGTTGAGAAACCTGAGCAGGGGGCTGGCTGGAGGCCGACGGCGGAGTTCTCTCAACGGAGCGCCGCCAGGGGGCGCGCGAGGCAGGGCGGAGCTGCGTACTTTGTCCGCCCGCGCAGCCCGTCGTTCGCGCCGCGGCGGGAATATCCGACCTGGCCGCGCACCACCGCCCCTTCTCGGACTTCCTGCATTTGCCCAGGTTCAGCACGCAATAATGGAGGAGGAGGCGGAGACCGAGGAGCAGCAGCGATTCTCTTACCAACAGGTACAGGAAAACGGTGGTCGGGCTGGGCTGGGGCAGGACGGCGTCGAGTTTCAGGACAGAAAAGGACACCGAAGCCCAAGTTGGCCTCTCATCGGGGCCCCCACGCCCCCGGCGTCCCCCGCGGCTGCTGCTGCGCCTGCGTCGGCTCAACTGCCGCGGGTGGTGCTGGGAAGCGGTTTCCGCGGCAACGCGGCTGGACCCTGGCCTGCGCGGGCTGGGGAGGAAGCGGTTCTAGGGGAGTGCGCGGGCTCCGGGGTCCAGCGGGGAGAGGCCACCTTCTGGCTTTGCGATGAAGCCTCGGTTTCCCCTTCTCAGATGGGGTTGTTGTGAGGGTGGAACGTCGGCATTAGAGACACTCGAGGTGACGCCCGTAGCGCGGTGCGCGGTTCCGGCAGGAGCTCTGGAACGCTGCTGGAGGGGTCGACCCCTCGTTACAGATGCAGGGACGCGGTGCGGACCAGTCAGGACCAGAGCTCGTCCTTAGATGTGGGTTCGAATCTCCGCCGCGCCAACTTGTGATCGTACCGACTCGGCCCAAATGCAATTTTCTTCTCTGCAAAATCGTCGTAAGAATAACCACCTGTTAGGGTAGCTGCAGGCATCCCATTCTTTCCTTTTATCAGCGCGGGGCATACTGGGCGGCAGAGGCTGAGAACCTTACTGTGCTGTGAAGAGGCGAAAAGCAAGACCCGGAGTGGCGACTTTAAAGACGAATTGAAGAAACGCGGGAATGAGCTCCAGACGCGGGAGTTTCCTCTCTACAAAGTTACATTGTAGCAGCTGTCTACCCTGTCCCTTGTATTTTGAGAAGTTCAAACCTTCAGAAAAGTTGCAAGAACATGGTACAGAACGCCTAGATGCCCGTCACCTCGATTCACCACTAGTTAGCATTTTGCTCTGTTTGCTCTCTTGCTTTTTTTCCTCCCTGATTGGAGAATTAATTGCAGATATTTTGACAGTTCGCCTTTAGATTTTAATTCTTTAGTACACATCTCCCAAAAACAAGGCATTGGTTGGGCGCGGTGGCTCACTCCTGTAATCCCAGAACTTTGGGAGGCCGAGGTGGGCAGATCACTTGAGGTCAGGAGTTCGAGACCAGACTGGCCAACATGGAAACCGCCTCTCAACTAAAAGTACAAAAATTAGACGAGTGTGGTGGTGGGCGCCTGTAATCGCAGCTGCTTGGGATGTTGAGGCAGGGGAATTGCTTGAACCCGGGAGGCGGAGGTTTCGGTGAGCCGAGATCGCACCTTTGCACTCCAGCCTGGGTAACAGAGCGAGACTCCATCTCAAAAAAAAAGAAAAAAAAAGAACAAGGCATTCTCCTACATCATCTCCATAAATTATCCCACTCAGGAAGTTTAATATTGATGAAACGCTGTTGAACGTGCAATCCATGGTCACGTGCCCCCACTTGTCCTAAAGATGTTTCTTTTAACTGTCTTTTTTCCTTCAGGATTCCGTTAAGGATGGCGCGTTCCATTTACTCATCTTGTCTCTTTGGTCCTGCCTGCCCTGTTTTTTTTTTTTTTTTTGAAACAGAGTTTTCGCTCTTGTCCAGGCTGGAGCGTAGTGGCTCCATCTCAGCTCACTGCAACCTCCGCTTCCCGGATTCAGGAGGTTCTCCTGCCTCGTGAGCAGCTGGGATTACAGGCGCCCACCACCACGCCCAGCTGATTTTGTGTGTTTAGTAGAGACGAGGTTTCACCATGTTGGCCAGGCTGGTTTTGAACTCCTGACCTCAAGTGATCTGTCCGCCTCGGCCTCCCAAAGTGCTGGGATTCCAGGTGTGAACCACTGTGCCGGGCCTGTTTTTAGTCCCCAGAACACAGCCTGGCTCTCAACAGAGGAACAAATGCTTACTGATGAAATGAAACTGCAAAGATGGGCCGAGAAATTTGCCCCGCAGCTGTGATTAACCTGTAGAAGATTTCCCCCTATTCATGTAACCAACTGTTCTTGGCACTTGGTAGGCAGCAGTGAACAAAATTGACAGGGTCCTGCCCTTGAGGAGTTTAGTGATTTAGACTCTAAATGCAGTGATGCCCCCAGCCCAGCCAGGGGGAACGGAGGAGGAGGAAGGTCTGAGAAAAATTCCTGGAGCCAGGAGCATTCAGAAGAATTCATGTCCTGTACCCTGACGCTCACCCATAAGTAAAAAAGATGATGTTGAGCTGGGCAGGGTGGTGTGGGCCTGTAGTCCCAGCTACTCAGGAGACTGAGGCAGAAGGTTCACTTGAGCCTGGGAGTTGGAGGCTGTAGTGTGCAGTGACCACACCTGTGATCTTCATGCCTCCCAGGTCGATGGCACTTTGGCTTCTCCTACCAGAGGCCTCAGCTTACCTAGCCTTGTGAGGTCTGAAATTCAGGAAGGTAGATGCCCTCCTTATCTGCCTGACCTCTATCCTGAGGTCCTGGACTTGCGTTTTTGGCAGTTCCTCCTCCTCTTGCCTATGCGTTGAACACTTGCTGGTAGATTTTGTGCCCTCGTGGGTTCAGCTGTCATCATGTGCAGCTCAGCTCTGTCTTTGGCCCTGAGGCAGAGTACCCACACCTGGGCTCAACGGAACTCTGTCGACACGTGGGCGAGACCGTGCTTAGGTTGTCTTGCGCTTGAGGCTCATCCTCCCCTCGGTAATTTTCTGCAAGCGGCAGAGAGATCTTTTTCAGAACCGACAAGGGTTGCCAGGGAGCAGTGAGGCCCCGTGGAGGTAGCCTCCCAATCCTCTGAATCGAGAGGGCTGGGTGTGCCCTCTTGAGCCTTTCCCGTGTTGTACTTTTGTCCTCTGTGACATGCAGGCCTGGGGCTGCCAGGGGCTTGCAGCAGAGGGATGGGATCCTTCTGTATTTACTTGATTAACCACAGTAAGGGCAAAGTTCCCTGCCTGGTTTTTCATTGTCTCCCAAACACCTAGCATATGCCTTTGCTCAGGCACATGTCCAAACTCCGCAGATAGTTTGGAATAAGGGAGTAAAACCCCGCGGGGCCTTGGCAGGCACGAGTCTGATCTGTCTCCCCACTGACTTGCCATCCAATTCCTTATCTACCTGACGTAAATCATAACCATTAACAAGGAGGTAATGTTTCTACAAGTCACACTCCAGTGGGCCTCATTCACTGATTAGTACACTTGAAAAGCCACCCAGCCATTATGGAAAGCTCCGAAGGAATTGGGCTGAGCAGACCCTCTCCTTGGTCTTAATTTTTTAAGCCGTGAAAAGCTCTTATTTGCAACCTTACCCATGAAATATTTCGATTTTTTTCCCCAGAGGCTAAAGGCAGCAGTTCACTACACTGTGGGTTGTCTTTGCGAGGAAGTTGCATTGGACAAAGAGATGCAGTTCAGCAAACAAACCATTGCGGCCATTTCGGAGCTGACTTTCCGACAGTGCGGTATGAAGCTTCGGCCTCCCTAGCCATGTCTGTAAACCCCAAAGGTTGATTTCACCTGGGAGCAGTACGTGGGTGGGAGCTGTGGGGAGTCTGACCAGCAGACCGAGATATCATCATCATCATGTGTTCTTCATGAAACACTGCTCTTTTTGGCTGCGAGTTGTGGATATTTTATGGGAAGAACTATTTTTTTCCTATTACACTAACACTGGGGCATTAACGCCTTTATTTTATTGTTTTAAACTGCCCTGACGGCTGGAACATTAGACATCACATTTTTTGTTTCAGTGCTTTATAACATTTTTATATTACCCATAGTTTCTTTGACAGCTGAGCTTTAGCGTTGGTATTTGCTTGACTTCAGAGGGAAAACGAAAGACCTCACAAGCCTTGACTGTAGCAGAAGTTAAAGGATAGTTTCTAGAAACCAAAGGCGTAGTCACAATTAATGGAAGACTTGCCATGAAGGGTGGAGGGCTCTGGGAAGGACAAGGAGGTCATCATGAATAAAAAAAGCCAAAGGCTCTTAGGGAATGGCGGGGCTCCTGGAAGCGCCTCCTTTCACCTTTAAGAGGGTTTGTTGTATTAGTCACTGTACTGGCTGTAAAAATCAAGGCTTCACTTTTCCTGCTTCTGAAATTAGATGGGAGGGTGCCTAAAGTGTGTGTCTTTCTCTTTCAGAAAATTTTGCCAAAGACCTTGAGATGTTTGCAAGGTGGGTAGAGAACTTGGTTATCCGACGCTGCGTCTGTGCAGCTCTTTGGGGCCTCTCCATCTGGTGGGTTATTTCAGGAGAGCTTTAGCTATTCAGTTTGCCGTGTGTTTTGTGGAGGCTTGTCTCTAATCATGGTTCTGCAAGAACATGACGCCTGCCTCAATCACGGTGATTCAGACTTATTTGAACATTTTTTGAAGTTTTCCGAGTATTTTTTATTAAAGAACCCAAGTTATTCAGTTCCAAGTTAAAAAGGTGAATGCCGTCTCCAGGACCCTGAATGGCAGTGCCTGTGTTAAAAGCCATGTCTTCGGGTGGTTTGATTGCTCAGGGTTTGAGAACATGGTGCCCGGGGGCGGCTGCCCCTCTGCGGAGGGAGCTGCCGCATGTCCGCGGTGGTAATTGCTTGCAGGTGTACACAGAATGGCAGGCAGGGCTTTTCATTTGCCGCATTTGTTCTGAGTAAGACGCACTCCTTGGAAAGAGGGTGACTTGCTTTCAGCTGCTAAAGCCTCAGCTTTTACAGATGATTTATGTTCAGCTCTTCAATTAGTACCGCAGGTAATTGAAAACAATTGCACCAAATTGCTTTTATGAAACAGTTTGAATGACGAAGGCCTGAAAGGGCGAAAGCTTTCTAATTTGCCACCACTTGGATTCGGTGCCAGCCTCTCCCACACCCTTTACTTTTCACCTTGCTCCTGTTAGCTCTTTGTTTCTCGGATGCCTGTTTTGAATGAATTAAAGCAGTGGGTTCTCGGAGGGCAAGCTCTCAATCTGTCCTATTCCTGTGGCTATTCGTCCCTGAAAACCGCTTAGCATCTTCAACTTGACCAAAAGGGATAAGATAGTATGAAGGGATACCGGTAGCTCATGTGGCTTAGTCATTGCTGATTCAGGCGGGAGTCCCTTATGTGTGGCCCTCCTCCCCGGTGAAAGATATTTATCACCTTTACTTGTTATTTCTTTGTTAGCTGTGGGGAAAAAAAAAACAATGAACGTTTAAAATACTTAAAAATAATAAATATATATATTAGAGATTCAGGGTCTTGGTATGTTGCCCAGGCTGGTCTTGAACTCCTGGACTCAAGCAATCCTGCCTTGGGCTCCCAAAGTGGCTGGGATTATAGGTGTGAGCCACCATGCTCAGCCTGAAAATACTTCTGTAAAAATTCTATTAAAAAAATTAATAGAAAGAGTATGGTAACACATTAGGCTTTCAGATATTCTGTGTTTTTTAAAAAGTACATAAAAGGTAGATTTTATTTTATTTTATTTTATTTTATTTTATTTTTTTGAGACAGCGTCTCGCTCTGTCGCCCAGGCTGGAGCGCAGTGGCCGGATCTCAGCTAACTGCAAGCTCCGCCTCCCGGGTTCACGCCATTCTCCTGCCTCAGCCTCCCGAGTAGCTGGGACTACAGGCGCCCGCCACCTCCCACGGCTAGTTTTTTGTATTTTTTAGTAGAGACGGGGTTTCACCGTGTTAGCCAGGATGGTCTTGATCTCCTGACCTCGTGATCCGCCCGTCTCGGCCTCCCAAAGTGCTGGGATTACAGGCTTGAGCCACCGCGCCCGGCCTTATTTTATTTTTTTGAGACAGAGTCTCACTCTGTCGCCCAGGCTGGAGTGCAGTGGTGCAATCTTGGCTCACTGCAACCTCTGCCTCCTGGGTTCAAGTGATTCTCCTGCCTCAGCCGCCCAAGTAGCTGGGATTACGGGCATGTGCCACCACACCTGGCTAATTTTTGTATTTTTAGTAGAGATGGGGTTTTACCATGTTGGTCAGGCTGGTCTTGAACTCCGGATCTCAAGTGATCTGCCCACCTCCGTCTCCCAAAGTGCTAGAATTACAGGCGTGAGCCACTGTGCCAGGTAAACGGTTGATTTTCTTTTGCTGGGTACTGGCGGGGAAAGGAGTACGTGCGTGTGTGTGTGTGTGTGTGTGGGTGTGTGTGTGTGTGGAGACCATAAGCTCCATAAGGAAGGACAACATCTTTTACATAAAAGTGTTCGTGGAGGCCAAGTGCAGTGGCTCACGCCTGTAATCCTAGCACTTTGGGAGGCTGAGGCGGGTGGATCACCTGAGCTCAGGAGTTCGAGACTAGCCTGGGCAACAGGGTGAAACCCCATCTTCTAAAATAAAATTTTAAAAAATTAGCCAGGCGTGGCAGTGTGCGCCTGTAGTCTCAGCTACTCAGGAGGTTGAGGCAGGAGAATTGCTTGAACCAGGGAGGTGGAGGTTGCAGTGAGCCGAGATTGTGCCACTGCACTCCAGCCTGGGTGACAGCGAGTCTCCGTCTCTTTAAAAAAATAGAGAGTTTGTGGAAAGGCTGCCTCTGAGAACTGAGTGAGTCCAGAGTCCAGTGATGAGGCTCCAGGAACCTGGGGTGCAGCCAGAGGCAGGGAAGCACCCCCTCTTCTTGGCACAACCCACAACTACAGGTTTTCTTTGAAGACTCATCCTTTGTGTGAATTCCAGTTTGCTTTCATACAAAAAAGCATTGTTTTAAAGTTGATCACTGAATGAAATTGATTCTCCTGGAAGGCCAAGTTTGGTTATCTTGTGGATTTGAGTTGTCCCTGTCACACTTTCTCTACTCCCAAGACTATTGTTACCCCAGTTTGAGAAAGATGGACTGTTTCAAGTCAACAGTATGTTACATAGCCTCTCTAGGCTAGCCTGGGAACCTAATGAGTATTTGTAACATTGTTTCATTAAGACAAATTTGTTTTTTCTTTTCTTTCTTTTTTTTTTTTTTTCCTTGAGACAAGATCTCTCTGTTACCCAGGCCAGAGGGCAGTGGCAGGATCATAGCTCACTGCAACCTAGAGCTCCTGGGTTCCAGTGATGCTGCCACCTTGGGCTTCCAGAGTGTTGGTATTACAGGCATGAGCTGAGCCACTGTGCCTGGCATCTTTTTTCTTTTTGGTGAACTTGTTATGAGAAGTTTCTGTGAGAATACACATTTAAATTCTTTTTTCTTTTTCTTTTTTTCTTTTTCTTCTTTTTTGGAGCATTGGAGCAAGAGGGAGACTTGAGAACAGGGGCTGGAATTTTTTTTTTTTTTTTTTTTTTTTTTTTTTTTTTGAGATGGAGTCTCGCTGTGTCGCCCAGGCTGGATTGCCATGGCGCGATCTCAGCTCACTGCAACCTCTGCCTCCTGGGTTCAAGGCATTCTCCTGCCTCAGCCTCCCAAGTAGCTGGGATTACAGGTGCACAGCACTACGCCCGGCTAATTTTTGTGTTTTTAGTAAAGACAGGGTTTCACCATGTTGGCCAGGTTGGTCTCAAACTCCTGACCTCAGGTGATCCACCCACCTCGGCCTCCCAAAGTGCTGGGATTACTGGCATGAGCCACTGTGCCTGGCCAATTTTTTTTTTTTTTTTAGACAGAGTCTCTCTCTGTCGCCCATGCTGGAGAGCAGCAGCTCAATCTCGGCTCACTGCAGCTTCTGCCTCGTGGGTTCAAGCGATTCTCCTGCCTCAGCCTCCCGAGTAGCTGGGACTACAGGCACACGCCACCACTCCCGCTAATTTTTGTGTTTTTAATAGAGATGGGGGTTTCACCATGTTGGCCAGGCTGGTCTCGAGCTCCTGACCTCAGGTGATCCACCTGCCTCAGCCTCCCAAAGTGCTGGGATTACAGGTGTGATCCACCATGCCTGGCCAGAGAATACACAATTAAATTCTAAATCAATTCACTGGCAGACTTTGGAAAGCAACTGCCAATCTGAGTTGTTAATTTTTTTTTTTTTTTTTTGAGATGGAGTCGCACTCTGTCATCCAGGCTGGAGTGCGGTGGTGTGATCTCAGCTCACTGCAGCTTCCGTCTCCTGGGTTCAAGCGATGCTCCTGCCTCAGCCTCCCAAGTAGCTGGATTACAGGTGCCCGCCACCACACCCGGCTAGTATTTGTCTTTGTAGTAGAGACGGGGTTTCACTGTGTCGGCCAGGCTGGCCTCAAACTCCTGACCTCAAATGATCCACCCACCTCGGCTTCCCAAAGCTATGGGATTATAGACATGAGCCACCACACCTGGCCTGAGTTGTGAATTTATTTAGCTTTGAAATCTGTAGTCTCCTAGTATTGTTAAACATTTTGAAGAAGATAGATATTCTATAGGAAATACATTCTGGGAACTTTTGGGAATCGTCTTTAAGGCCTGTGTTACAAAGCATATTATATGAAAAATTGCTTTTTATTTTCCCTAGCTAGAGTAATTTTCTGGAGTAATTTTCTGGAGTTGGAGGTTTGACTTAGGAGAGTCTACGATATGCAGTGGCTGGCAGAGGATGCCCTGCCCCTTCCATCAAGGGCCTTAGTGCAGAGATACCGGAGGCAAAGCTGAAGTGGCAGAGAGGACTGAGATCATTGTTTCCTAAAACTTTCTTGTCAACAGATAAGTTCGCTCTGTAAATGGTTCATTGTGCTTATTCCTTTTACTGTACTTTAAGAAGAATGTAAATCCAGACAGAGCAGCCTGGTTGTGAGGTTGAGACTGGGCCACCTTGTCCACGCACACTTAATATTCTCCACCCAGACAGAACATCTGTGTTCTGGCCTCATTCTTTGTGGCTGCTCTTAGGTCACCTCTGTCTTTTTTCTCTCCTGCGTGGTCCTTGCAGGTTGCTAATTAGAAAATTATCTCTTGAAGTGGGTATTATTATCTCATGACAAGCAGATACTATCAATCACGATGAGATGACGTGATATTTGTATATTTAGCAGAATGTTAAGGATTAATTTGGCCAAATTATGGAGAATAATTTCTGTGTGAATTTATCTTTTAACTCAGCAGTTGTTCACTGAGGACTCACCATGTGTGCTGGCTGCTTTGCTAGTTATTAAGGATGCAAAGATTCTTATTTATTCCTGCTTACAAAGTACCTGTGTATTTTGTGGGAAAGTTAGAAATGGAAAGAAAGAGTGTAATCAGAGTAATATATTATTGAATAGAGCTTATTATCTCAAATTACCTTTCCTAGCAAAGATAATACGACTAGAATGAGAATTTGAGTCCAACTTGTGAGCAAGAAGCAGACTCCAGTTTAAAGGATGTTCTTTGTGGCTGGGCACGGTGACTCACGCCTGTAATCCTAGCACTTTGGGAGGCCGAGGCAGCTGGATCATGAGGTCAGGAGTTCGAGACCAGCCTGGCCAAGATGGTGAAACCCCGTCTCTACTAAAAATACAAAAAAATTAGTGGGGCATGGTGGGGGCGCCTGTAATCCCAGCTACACAGAAGGCTGAGGCAGAGAATTGCTTGAACCCGGGAGGTGGAGGTTGCAGTGAGCCAAGATTGTGCCACTGCACTCCAGTCTGTGTGAGAGAATGAGACTCCGTCTCAAAAAAAAAAAAAAAAAAAAAAAAAAAAGAGGATGTTCTTTGTTCTGCCTGTGTTATTGTGGAGGGAGGGAATGCATTAACTGCCTGTTGGGAACGGGGTAGGAGGCGTCTGCATATGCTTTTTCCTGTAAGTTAGCCCTTGGAGAACGTCAGAATCTTGACCTAAGTAAAGCCATCCTTTGTGGAGGTTCTCTTTGTTCTTCTATTTAGTGTCTATTTAAGCAGGTACCCTCTGTATCGTGAGGCTCATTTTCTCTGCACTAGAGTTGTACACTGACCTTCTTGATTTTTCTGTGGCCTTAGCTGTGACCAAGGAAGCCAGGTTTGGAAGGACTCTAAGCCCCGAGCCTCCTGTCTGTGTTTGTACTCTTCAGGTACCCTTGGCCCTAAGCAGAGGTGGAGAGATGGCCTTTGCTTTCTCCATCTCTTTACTTAATTGGGGTCTTGGGAACTTCACAAATTTTTGTGTCACTTTTGCTTAATGCCCTTTATCTAAAAGGATGGGCTACTTAGAGATCCCTGCTCTTTTGAAGTCTGACCCTGAACTTCTGTGTTTCATCAAAACTTTAAATAATACCAAACATTTTGGTGACTTGCTTCTGCCCTTTCTGCAGACATGCGAAAAGAACCACAATTAACACTGAAGATGTGAAGCTCTTAGCCAGGAGGAGTAATTCACTGGTGAGAGATGAATTTCTTTCCTCACTTCCCTTTCCCATTGGAATACATTATTCCCAATCAATCACTTGAAGCCGTGAAGTTATTCCCCAGGGCACCTTGCATTAGAAACTAGAGGTGGCTGAACCATTCAGACTTACCTGTAATTTACAGTCTTGCTTTCATTATGATGGATCTTGCTAAGCCAATTTGAAATTTTCTAATCAGCACTCTCTGGTTTTTATAATTTGCCTTTTTTTGTAATACCTCAAAACTTTGGTCCCATGTTTCATTTACAACATGATGTCAGAGACTGGTCACAGGCTAATCTGTAGGGATAGTTTTACGGTGTTCACAGTTCTCCAAATGGGCCAGGTATAGAAGGAGTTTCTGTGTGGCTGGATATGCAGGAAAAAGCACGTTTTCCATCTTTTTAAGTCTAGAAATCATTTTGACCAAGCCTCCGTTGTTCAGGTGAAGACTCAGCGATGCTCTGGTCATCCCAGGCTAGTGGCTTTGGCCAGTGGCAGAGCCAGCACGCCGGGGAGATTTCCTGACTGAGTCTAATGCTAGACATTGAAGCACTGTGGCTGTCGTAGAATGTGGGCCCCACAAGAGCAGGGGCTTTTGTCTCTCTGTTCTCTCTCCATCTGTGTTGCCTAGAACAGTCCTGGCACACAGGAGCAGCTCAATAAATAGTTGTTGAATGAATGAATTTGTATAGCAGTTTATAGGGGCTTTTCCAGATACTATTTTACATATATTATCTAATGCTCACAACTTTTTTTTCTTTTTTTTTTTTGATGGAGTCTCACTCTGTTATCCAGGCTGGAGTGCGGTGGTATGATCTCAGCTCACTGCAACCTTCACCTCCCGGGTTCAAGCAGTTCCCTGCCTCAGCCCCTCGAGTAGCTGGGATTACAGGCTCCCACCACCACGCCCGGCTAATTTTTGTATTTTTAGTAGAGATGGAGTTTCACCATATTGTCCAGGCTGGTCTTGAACTCCTGACCTCGTGATCCACCCACCTCAGCCTCCCAAAGTGCTGGGATTACAGGCGTGAGCCACCGCGCCCGGCCGCCACAACTCTTACTGACACAACTTACTGGCTAGGTGCAGTGGCTCATGCCAATAATCCCAGAACTTTGGGAGGCCAAGGCAGGAGGATTGCTTGAGCGTAGGAGTTTGAGACCAGCCTGGCCACATAGTGAGATCCTCATATCTACAAAAATTTTTTAAAAAAGAAGAAAAGGCCGGGTCGTGGTGGCTCACGCTTGTAATCCCAACACTTTGGGAGGCCGAGGCGGGCGGATCACAAGGTCAGGAGATCGAGACCATCCTGGCTAACACGGTGAAACTCTGTCTCTACTAAAAATACACAAAAAAAATTAGCCAGGCGTGGTGGTGGGCGCCTGTAGTCCCAGCTACTCAGGAGGCTGAGGCAGGAGAGTGGTGTGAACCCGGGAGGTGGAGCCTGCAGTGAGCCAAGATCGCGCCACTGCACTCCAACCTGGATGACAGAGCAAGACTCTGTCTCGAAAAAAAAAAAAAAGAAGAAGAAAAAAATTGAAGCTGCATTTAATTCTAAGAAATGTAACCCAGGCTTTGGCTTTTCTACCCAAATTCTTTGAGTCAGAGGTGGTTGTGGAAGGTTTAGTTTTCTTTGTTTATTTGTTTAGGTTTATAAAATGGTTACAGCCAGATATAAATACAGATTTTTTTTTTTATAGCTAAAATACATCACAGACAAAAGTGAAGAGATTGCTCAGATTAACCTAGAACGAAAAGCACAGAAGAAAAAGAAGTCAGAGGATGGAGGCAAAAATTCAAGGGAGCCAGCAGAGGCTGGAGTGGTGGAAAGTGAGAATTAAAGCCCCTCGCCGCCTGGAAAATGCAATGCAGCCTTCTACAGGTAGAGCCGCCTAGAAATGCGCATGGCTGCCAAGGAGACTTCGAAGGGTTAGAGACTAAAAATACATAAATAAAAAGACTAGGCTAGGGGGCTTTTTGTGCTGAATTCTCCACATTGTTAACTGCAAAAGCTAGTTTTAGAGAATGGGAAAGTCTTAAGCAAAATACTCCCAGATCTCATTCCAGAACATAAAAATGGTGTGTGCTTGAATGGTATATATTAGAAATTACATCTATTGTAATTAAAATTGTGTGCGCAGTTAAACATGGTTGACTTTTTCAAGCAAAAATCAGTTCATCTTTTGATGTAATTTTGTAGGCTAAATGACAATCTCTGAAAGATGAATAAAGTTATATTTATTTAGCTTTTCTGGTTACTAATGTTGTTTTTAAACATAGGCCGCCTTTGGTCACCAGGTAAAAGGGCATATGTTTGGGAATGGCCCTTTTTACTTTTTTGTTTTTGGAGGAGTCTTTTTTTTTTTTTTTCTTTTTTGAGATGGAGTCTCGCTGTGTCGCCCAGGCTGGAGTGCAGTGGCGCGATCTCGGCTCACTGCAAGCTCCGCCTCCCAGGTTCACGCCATTCTCCTGCCTCAGCCTCCTGAGTAGCTGGGACTACAGGCGCCTGCCACTGCGCCCGGCTAATTTTTTGTATTTTTAGTAGAGACGGGGTTTCACTGTGGTCTCGATCTCCTGACCTTGTGATCCACCCGCCTCGGCCTCCCAAAGTGCTGGGATTACAGGCGTGAGCCTCCGCGCCCGGCTGGAGAAGGAGTCTTGCTCCGTTACCCAGGCTGGAGTGCAGTAGCACGATCTCACCTCACTGCAACCTCTGCCTCCCGGGTTCAAGCAGTTCTCTGCCTCAGCCTCCTGAGTAGCTGGAATTATGGGTGCATGCCACCATGCCTGGCTAATGTTTGTAGTTTTAGTAGAGACGGGGTTTCACCATCTTGGCCAGGCTGGTCTTCAACTCCTGACCTTGTGATCCACCCACCTTGGCCTCCCAAAGTGCTGGAATTGCAGATGTGAGCCACTGTGCCCAGCCTTTTAATTTTTTTTTATATATTATTTTTGTGTGTGTGAGACACAGTCTTGCTCTGTTGCCAGGCTAGAGTGCAATGGTGTGATCTCAGCTCACTGCAACCTCCACCTCCCAGTTTCCCAAGTAGCTGGGACTACAGGCATGCGCCACCATACCCAGCTAATTTGTGTGTGTTTTGTGTGTGTTTTGTTTTTTCTCATGCCTTTGGGTTTCTTAGAGGTCCAGGCACGCCTTTCCCTTTACCCTTTGGCAATGTGGTGAAGAGAAGGGGCAGGGGTTTGTGGAGCCCTTTCTGTGTGCCAGGCACCCACTGGGTACTCCATGTATTACCTCGCTGGTCTCCACAACTTGATCGGCGTAGATCTGATTCTTCACCTTCTCCCGATGAGCAAATGGAAGTTTGATGAGGTTCACCAGCTGCCCAGGGTCACCCGGCCACAGTCAGGAGACAGTGTTCACATTTGGGGCCGCTCACTCTAGAATGGGTGAGAGAAAAGGGCATTCATTTGGAGTAGAATTTATACCATCTGTGCCCAAATAGGATCAGCAAAAGATGCCCCAAAGCTACCCTGACTCTCCAAGGGAGGTGCTAAGCTATGGCCGTAGTAGGGCGCCAAGTTCATACTTTGTGGTTTCGGGTCTGCAAATGGCTCAGCACTTGTTCTCATGTTAATTATAATATCTGTGTGTCATATCAGTGAATGAAAAGTGAATCATAAAGCCTGCCTTCCTAGTATGGTCAGCCAAAGACCTGTATGTTAGCAGTTTCATTTTCGGATAAGCACTCTTTGAACTCCTTATTGGCCAGGTGCAGTGGCTTGTGTCTGTAGTCCCAGCAACTTGGAAGGCTGAGGCAGGAGATTCACTTAAGTCTGGGAGTTTGAGACCAGCCCGGGCAGCACAGTGAGACCCCATCTCTAAAAAAAAATAAAAAATAAGTTAGTTAGGCATGGTGATGCCTGCCTGTAGACCCAGCCAGCTACTCAAGAGGCTGAGGCAGACAGTTGCTTGATCCCGGGAGTTGAAGGCATTAGTGAAGTGACTGTGCTACTGCACTGCAGCCTGGTGCACTGGGGTGAGAGAACAAGACCCCAACTCTAAAAAATAAATTCGGGAGGCTGAGACAGGAGAATCGCTTGAACCCAGGAGGTGGAGGCTGCAGTGAGCCGAGATTGTGCCACAGTACTCCAGCCTGGGCGAGAGTGAGACTCAGTCTCAAAATAAAATAAATTTAAAACTCATCAAGAAGAGTTTAGGGAATAGATACTATAGACTTTCCAAAGGTTGAAAGATCTGGGTTGGCGTCTTAGGTTTGCAACCCTAGTAGCTGTATAACTTTCAGAGACTTTGTGCTTTTTTTTTTTTTTTTTCATTGAGACAGGGTCTCTGTCACCCAGACTGGAATGCAGTGGCACGATCATGACTCACTGCAGCCTCAACCTCCCAGGCTTAAGCGATCCTCCTGCCTCAGCCTCCTGAGTAGCTGGGACTACTGTGTGCTACCATGTGCTACCATGCCCGGCTAATTTTTTAGTTTTTTTTTTTTGTAGAGATAGGGTCTCAGAATGTTGCCCAGGCTGGTCTCAAACTCCTGGGCTGGACTCAAGTGATCCTCCTGCCTCAGCCTCCCAAAGTGCTGAGATTATAGGCATGAGTCTCTGCACCCGGCCTTTTCTTTTCTGAGATGGGCTCTTGCTCTGTACAGTGGCGAGATCACAGCTCACTGCAGCTATGAATTCCTGGGCTCAGGCAATCCTCCTGCCTCAGCCTCCCAAGTGCCTGAGACTGCAGGTGTGTGTTACCACACCTGGCTAAGTTTTTCGTTTTTCTTTTTTGTCATAAAGTCTCATTCTATCACCCATGCTGTAGTGCAGTGGTGCAATCTTGGCTCACTGCAGCCTTGACCTCCTATGCTCAGATGATCCTCCTACCTCAGCCCCCCAAGTAGCTGGGACCACGGGTGTGCGTCTCCACGTCCAGCTAATTTCTGTAGAGATGGGGTTTTGCCATTTTGCCCAGGCTGGTCTTGAACTCCTGGGCTCAAGCAATCCTCCTGCCTCAGCCTCCCAAGTAGTCAGGACTACAGGTGTGCATTGCCATGCCTTGCTAAATTTTGTTTTTTGGTGGAGATGGGGTCTTGCTATGTTGCCCAGTCTGGTCTTGAACTCCTGGGCTTAAGTGATCCTCTCATCTCCACCTCCCAAAGTTTGCCACCTTCTTGAAACAGTCATCAGTTCTCATGACGTCTTCCCCAATTTGCAGCACATTCCCCTTCTTTGCACACTTCTTATCGCACTGAAAAATGTCCTTGTCTTTCATTTGTGTCCATGTATCCTATTTCTTTTAGGCTGCAACACCTCTGTCGGGGTGTGGGTGGCATGGGTCCCTTGTGGTATTGCAAGTTCCATGCTGGGTGCTGAGAATGTTTAATGAGCTCATGGAATAAAATTGGCACACTAGACTAACGATATAGGAAGTTGGTGAGGTCGGGTGTGGTGGCCTCATGCCTGTAATCCCAGCACTTTGGGAGGCTGAGATGGGTGGATCACTTGAGTTCAGAAGTTTGAGACCAGCATGGCCAACATGGTGAAATCTCTATTAAAAATACTAAAAATACAAAAATTAGCTGGGTGTGGTGGCTCGTGCCTGTAATCCCAGCTACTCAGGAGGCTGAGACAGGAGAATCCCTTGAACCTGGGAGGTGGAGGTTGCAGTGAGCTGAAGTTGTGCCACTGCACTCCAGCCTGGGTGACAGAGCGAGACTCTGTCTCAAAAACAAAAAGAAGCTGGCTGAACTGCTGTGAATGTCTCATCTGCAAGTATAACTCGATTTTTAGTGTCATTTATAGGAATTTTGGTACAGAAATAACAGATGAAGCAACATACGACATATAAGTCTCTGGCCAGCAGGCCATGCTGATCTTACCTAGGATTTTAACATAAGCAAAAAGACTGTGACAAATTCAAGATTGAGATTTCCCCCATGAAGGTGTAAACCAGGACTCTGGAAAACTGAAAACAAATATGTTCACTTCTAGAAAGTGCCATCAGTTTTGGGTTGTGTTACTTCAATTTACAGCCTTGCTTTGGATGTTGGTCATTTCTAGTAGGTTTGGGTGGATGTTCCAGATTTTACTCGGTGTCCAGTTGGGTGAAGGGGTCTGTGCATTTGTCTGTGTGATTCAGCCATGAGGGCCTGTGAGGGAGAGCCAGCAGGTAGCACAGGGAGGGACTCCACGGTCTGCACTCTCAGCAGTGGCGCCAGCCTTGGGAGGACAGAGAGCCCTGGGAGTTGGCTGAGGGCAGGGCCGGGCATTGCTTCCCAAACTGTGACTGTGCCCTGCAGTAACAATACGTCTCACACCCGACACACACAATGTGAATCATTATTTATCCTCACTACGGGTGATGCACACTAATTTCAATTTCATTCTAAAGGAAAGTACTGGCCTGTGACCCACAAGCGGTGGTCAGGAGCAGTTTAGAAAACACTGGACCGGGCCGGGCGCGGTGGCTCATGCCTGTAATCCCAGCACTTTGGGAGGCCGAGGTGGGCGGATCACGAGGTCAGGAGATCGAGACCAGCCTGGCTAACGTGGTGAAACTCTGTCTCTACTAAAAATACAAAATTAGCTAGGCATGGTGGCACATGCCTGTAATCCCAGTTACTCAGGAGGCTGAGGCAGGAGAATCACTTGAACCCGAGAGGCAGAGGTTGCGGTGAGCCGAGATCACACCATTGCACTCCAGCCTGGGCAATAAGAGCGAGACTCCATCTCAAAAAAAAGAAAACACTGGATGATCAGGAGTTGGAGACCAGCCTGGCCAACATGGTGAAAACCTGTCCCTACTAAAAATACAAAAATTAGCCAGGCATGGTGGTGGGTGCCTGAAATCCCAGCTACTTGGGAGGCTGAGGCAGGAGAATCGCTTGAACCCAGGAGGCAGAGGATGCAGTGAGCTGGGTGTGCCATTGCACCCCAGGCCGAGTGGGCCAGAGCGCGGCTGCCCTGGGGCCAGCAGTACCTGGGTGCTTGTTGGAAATGCAGCTCTCAACTCCTCCCTGCCCCAGCGCATCAGGACCTGCCTGCAAAGCGATCGTCTGCACTTCAGTTTGAGAAGGCCTGGCCTAGAGGACGGTGGGTCTGGCCTGCTGGGCTGAGAGGCAGTACTGGGAGCGATTCTTGGGGCCTCCTTGCCAACAATTTGGTGAAACCAGCGGATACTATCGTAGCATCTCTGAGCTCCCACTGCCTCCTTGTTTCTCTGCCCGTAGTAGAAGAATGTCTTTGAAATTACTGGATGAGTTTCAGTCATACTTTCACATGGGCACAATTTCACATTCAAGCTCCTTATCCAAGGCTAATTTTATATTATGTTAAATCACTTGTTTTTGTTCTCACGGCTTCCTGCCTACTATAGGCATAATTACGAGGAAGCAGAACTTCTCCAGCAGCGAGCGCACATGCGTTCCAAAATAAGAGCAAATTCGCTCTAAACACAGGAAAAGACCTGAAGCTTTAATTAAGGAGTTAGAGCCAATCCTAAAGCGCTTTTGTGGGCACTGATTGCTCCAGCTTCTGCGTCACTGCGTGAGGGAAGAGGATCCAGGCGTTAGACATGTACAGACACAAAAAACAGCTGGAGATTGGGCTTAAAATACCCACCAAGCTCCAAAGAAGAGACCCACGTTCCCAAAACATTGATTTCAGGGCTGCCAGGAAGGAAGAGCAGCAGCAGGGTGTGAGAGAAGCTCCCGTCAGCCCACAAGATGCCGTTGCCCCCCGGCCTCCTGCTGCTGCTGCTCTCTGGGGCCACGGCCACCGCCGCCCTGCCCCTGGAGGGCAGCCCCACTGGCCCAGACAGCGAGGTGAGTACAGTCCCGACGTGGCCATACGCTAGCCCACTCTCTGTCTCTTGTTGGCTTTTTGGCCTGCATGGTGAGTGTGTGTGTGCACGTATGTTGCAGTTCACAGCTTGGACAGGACACAGGGCTGAGCTTTGTAGTGATCTTGGCTGGCTTGAGGTACTGGGATGTTACATTCAGATCACTGATCCTCAGTTACATGTCCCAACCCATGAAGCCTGCTGGAAACCTGTGCAGCTCAAGGAGGACCCTTCATGCCAGGGCTCCCTCCATCGGGTGTCTGGGAAAGGGGAAGCGAGTGTACCGGTCCGCTGCAGGGCAGGCGTGGAGCTGCGACAGCCCTTCCAGAGCCTTCAGTTACACACAGCACAGGCTCCCACTGGCTCAGAGTGACTGGCATCATTACATTTTCCGTCGTGAGAATTTGTTACTTCATGAGGTGATTGATTGTTCTTTTTTCCATTTTGAGAAAGTTCCAAGAAAGAGTATATAAAGTTGAGCATTAAAAATGGATTTTTCTCTAAAATTATCAGATGAGTTTCAGGCAGGCCATTTATCAGCAGATTACTCCCAGAAGCTTTCTAAGGAATTTGAAAAACCAGAATTCAACGTTTCAGTCCCATCGTCTCAGAAAGCAACTTGTGGACATCCAGGAGTGTGGCCAAAGGTGGGAGAATGAATAAATTAGCCTGATCCACCTTGGGGCTTCTCAGCTGCCAGTCACTGGGGGGAAAATGGCAGATTTCCTGACGTCTCCTAATTAAGGACCTTAGCAAAGAGTGTGGAGCAAAACCACCAGGTTTTTTTCCTTGACTTAAAATGACCAACTTTTCCTGTTCTCTAATTAGAGCAATTTATTTAAGGCGTTCGCTTCACTTTCTCATCCTCATCCTTTAAGTGGAAACGAGGCTTATTGCTGTGGAGCATCTTTTCACTTTTTTCTTTTTATTTATTTATTTTTAATATTTTCTTTCTCTTTTCTCCAGGGTAGTCTTCTAGTAGATCTTTTTTTTTTTTTTTTTTTTTTTTTTTTTTTGTGAGGAGATTGCATATCTTCGAATGCCTGCTGCCTGAGCCAGATTGCTGAGTTTTCTTTCCTTTGCCATCTGCTTCTCTTTAAAAGCATATGCAGGAAGCGGCAGGAATAAGGAAAAGCAGCCTCCTGACTTTCCTCGCTTGGTGGTTTGAGTGGACCTCCCAGGCCAGTGCCGGGCCCCTCATAGGAGAGGAAGCCAGGGAGGTGGCCAGGCGGCAGGAAGGCGCACCCCCCCAGCAATCCGCACGCCGGGACAGAACGCCCTGCAAGAACTTCTTCTGGAAGACCTTCTCTTCCTGCAAATAAAACCTCACCCGTGATTACTCACGCAAGTGTAATGACAGACCTGAATAAAATGTATTAAGCAGCAGCGATCTTTCCTTTCCTCCTTCCCAAGTCATTTGAAAAGTGTTTTTTATTTAAATTCCAATAATGCCCAATACTGACATGTCTTAAGTAATTTGGAACCCAAAGTGAACATCTTTGATAAAGATTGTTTTGTGGTTTGACTGAACCATGCTAAGTGCAGGCACTGGGCTTTCCTTCTGACGTTCATTATGGTGCTGGGAAGCTCTGTCTTTGATTTAAAATAAAATAGTTAAAGGCTACATAATTAAGAGTTCAGAATAACATCTTATTTCAGTTTATGAATTGATATGAATTGTCTAATTTAAAAAATATTTCCCTAACATTAAAAGGAAATTTTTAACATCAGGCTCAAAAAGCAAAATGATTATTCCTCATGTTTTAGCTGAAATTAATTTTAAAACATTACACAGAAAACATGCTGACATGCCTGCGAAACTTACACTCGAACTTGCTGTTAGGTACCAGTTTTAATTAGTAGCTTAATGGGTTGCAATTCTTTTCATGGGTTATAGCTTCAGATTTGCTTTGGGAGGAATGAAGTCTACTCACAGAATGTTTTTTTTTTTTTTTTTTTTTTGAGACAGAGTCTAGCTGTCACCCAGGCTAGAGTGCAGCGGAATGATCTCAGCTCACTGCAACATCCGCCTCCCAGGTTCATGTGATTCTCCTGCCTCAGCTTTCCGAGTAGCTGGGACTACAGCATGCGCCACCATGCCTGGCTAATTTTTCTTTCTTTTTTTTTTTTTTTGAGATGGAGTTTCGCTTTTGTTGCCCGTGGCGTGGTCTCAGCTCACTGCAACTTCCGCCTCCTGGGTTCAAGTGACTCTCCTGCCTCAGCCTCCCATGTAGCTGGGATTAGAGGCACACACCACCACGCCTGGCTAATATTTGTATTTTTATTTTATTTATTTATTTTGAGACAGAGTCTCACTCTGTTGCCAAGGCCAGAGTACAGTGGCACGATCTCGGCTCACTGCAGGCTCCGCCTCCTGGGTTCATGCCATTCTGCCTCAGTCCCAGCCTGTAGCTGGGACTACAGGCGCCCGCCACCATGCCCGGCTAATTTTTTGTATTTTTAGTAGAGACGGGTTTTCAGTTTTCACCGTGTTAGCCAGGATGGTCTCGATCTCCTGACCTCATGATCCGCGTAATTTTTGTATTTTTTTTTTTTTTTTTTTTTGAGACTGAGTCTCGCTGTGTCGCCCAGGCTGGAGTGCAGTGGTGCGATCTCGGCTCACTGCAAGCTCCACCTCCCGGGTTCACGCCATTCTCCTGCCTCAGCCTCCGAGTAGCTGGGACTACAGGCGCCCGCCACCTCGCCCGGCTAGTTTTTTGTATTTTTAGTAGAGACGGGGTTTCACCATGTTAGCCAGGATGGTCTCGGAGATCTCCTGACCTCGTGATCCACCCGCCTCGGCCTCCCAAAGTGCTGGGATTACAGGCTTGAGCCACCGCGCCTGGCCAATTTTTGTATTTTTAATAGAGACGGGGGTTTCTCCATGTTGGTCAGGCTGGTCTCGAACTCCTGACCTCAGGTGATCCACCTGCCTCGGCCTCCCAAAGTGCTGGGATTATAGGCATGAGCCACCACGCCTGGCTGTGAAGGTTTTTAGATGCTAAACTTTATTGGAAAAACCAGCAAAGGCTGGCTGGAGGACATGGGAATATTCTCTTCTCTGGACACTGGGGAGTGGACTTCCTGAGAATGACTGCTGACCATTCCATTGTTTTCTGCCGAGCTGAGCTCATATTCATAATTACTAGTTGAATAAAGTATAATGTGATGGAAGAGACTTAATAGTATCCACGTTTCCAAACACAGCAGCTTTAGGAGACCAGTAATTGGGTCAGTGAACTGGTGGAAGCTGCCTGCCTGAAAGGCCAGCTAACCTTCCAGAACTTTAAGATTTTTCTAGAAAGAAGCCATGCTCATTGTTTTTGTTTTTAAATTGGGGTCGGCAGGGTGCAGTGGCTCATGCCTGTAATCCCAGCACTGTGGGAGGCCAAGGCAGGTAGATCGCTTGGGGCCAGGAGTTCGAGACCAGCCTGGCCAATGTGATGAAACCCTGTCTCTACTGAAAATACAAAAATTACCCAGATGTGATGGCGCATGCCTGTAATCCCAGCTACTTGGGAGGCTGAGGCACGAGAATCACTTGAACCTGGGAGGCGGAGGTTATAGTGAGCCGAGATCATGCCACTGCACTCCAGTCTGGGTGACAGAATGAGACTCTGTCTCAAAAATAATAGTAAAATAAAATAGGGGCCAGGTGTGGTGGCTCACACCTGTAATCCCAGCATCTTGCGAAGCCGAGGTGGGTGGATCACCTGAGGTCAGGTGTTCAAGACCAGCCTGATCAATGTGGTGAAACCCTGTCTCTACTAAAAATACAAAAATTAGCCGGGCGTGGTGGCACATACCTGTAACCCCAGCTACTCGGGAGGCTGAGGCAGGAGAATCGCCTGAACCCGGGAGGCAGAGGTTGCAGTGAGCCAAGATTGTGCTACTGTACTCCAGCCTGGGTGACAAAGTGAGACTCTGTCTCAAAAAATAAAATAAATTAATAAATTGGGGTCATCCATACAGACATTAAGATTGGGGGTTTTACCTTTTAACTGAGTAGTATCTGTAGGATTGTGAGGCTCTACTAGTGCTCCTGCCAGGAAATTCATCAAGTCTAAGCCTACCTTAGTTCAGGGGACTTACAACATTAACTGGCGTCAACTGCATGTTAGACCAGATGAATATGCTTGTGATTAATAAATCAAGGTAAAATGGTAATTTTCCCCCATGTGGTTTTTGGCGGACTTTTCTGTAGTTCAGTATAGTCAGGTGTGTAGATCTGGGCAATCAGACCCTGGGCAATTTCAAGTTCATTCTCTTGTTATTCTGTCCAGGATTTGGCACCAGAACAGCTCCTTAACTGCTGAGGAGGAATGAAGGATGACAGGCACTCACAGTTTTCCTATTTCAGGGCTGACAGCAAAGGATTCCAGGCTTTAGGAAACTCAGATTGGGAAGCTGAGGGGAGATACTTACCTTGATTTAAACAGCACCTGTTGAAGGGGCAGCCCATCTTTTTTTCTTTTTTCTTTTTTTTTTTGAGATGGAGTCTCGCTCTGTTGCCCAGGCTCTGGAGTGCAGTGGCACGATCTCGGCTCACTGAAAGCTCCGCCTCCCGGGCTCACGTCATTTTTCTGCCTCAGCCTCCCGAGTAGCTGGGACTACAGGTGCCCACCACCACGCCCAGCTAATTTTTCATATTTTTTAGTAGAGAGGGGTTTCACCGTGTTAGCCAGGATGGTCTCAATCTCCTGACCTTGTGATCCGCCCGCCTCGGCCTCCCAAAGTGCTGGGATTACAGGTATGAGCCACCGCGCCCGGCCCTCTTAAAAACAGTAGTGTCTTCCATAGAGAGAGGTTTCATTTGGAATGTATTAGGCTGTTCTTGTGTTGCTATAAAGAAATACGGCCGGGCGCGGTGGCTCAAGCCTGTAATCCCAGCACTTTGGGAGGCCGAGACGGGCGGATCACGAGGTCAGGAGATCGAGACCATCCTGGCTAACACGGTGAAACCCCGTCTCTACTAAAAAATACAAAAAACTAGCCGGGCGAGGTGGCGGGTGCCTGTAGTCCCAGCTACTCGGGAGGCTGAGGCAGGAGAATGGCGTAAACCCGGGAGGCGGAGCTTGCAGTGAGCTGAGATCCGGCCACTGCACTCCAGCCTGGACCACAAAGCGAGACTCCGTCTCAAAAAAAAAAAAAAAAAAAGAAATACCTGGCCAGGCGCAGTGGCTCATGCCTGTAATTCCAGCAGCCTGTAATTTCCAGACCAGCATGACCAAAATGGTGAAACCCCATCTCTACTAAAAATACAAAAAAATAAGCCAGGCGTGGTGGCGGGCACCTATAATCCCAGCTACTCAGGAGGCTGAGGCAGGAGAATCGCTTCAACCTGGGAGGCGGAGGTTGCAGTGAGCTGAGATTGCACCATTGCACTCCAGCCTGGGCAACAAGAGCACAACTCTGTCTCAAAAAAAAAAAAAAAAACCTGAGAAGAGGTTTAATTGACTCATGGTTCCACAGGCTGTATAGAAGCATGGCACCAGGTGGCCGGGTGTGGTGGCTCACACCCGTAATCCCAACACTTTGGGAGACCGAGGCGGGCAGATCACCTGAGGTTGGACTGGACCAACCCGACCAACATGGAGAAAGCCCGTCTCTACTAAAAATACAAAATTAGCCAGGCTAATGGTGGTGGCACATGCCTGTAATCCCAGCTACTAGGGAGGCTGAGGCAGGAGAATTGCTTGAACCTGAGAGGTAGAGGTTGCGGTGAGTCGAGATCGCGCCATTGCACTCCAGCCTGGGCAACAAGAGCAAAACTCTGTCTCAAAAAAAAAAAAAAAAAAACAAGCACGGCACCAGGAATCTATCTGCTCAGTTTCTGGTGAGGCCTCAGGAAGCTTCCAATCATTACTGAAAGCCAAGTAGGACCCAGTGTATCACACAGTGAGGAGAGCAAGAGCAAGAGCAAGAGAGAGACTTGGGCTGGGTAAGGGGATGCTATACACACTTTTTTTTTCTTTTTCGAGACGGAGTTTTGCTCTTGTTGCCTGGGCTGGAGTGCAATGGCATGATCTCAGCTCACTGCAACCTCCACCTCCCGGGTTCAAGCGATTCTCCTGCCTTAGCCTCCTGAGTAGCTGGGATTACAGCTACAAGCATGAGCCACTGTGGTACCACCCCTGGGCTATTTGTAACTTCTTATAATGCTAGTAAAAATAGTAATTTCTTTTTCCCATTTTGCATTTGTAATTAAAAAACGTATTTGTCTTGTTAAAAAAATTAGTCTGGAGGAAAAGCTAGAATTTTGGGGGTAATAGTTCTTATGGTACTGAAAAATACGGCCGGGCGTGGTGGCTCATGCTTGTAATCCCAGCACTTTGGGAGGCCGAGGACGGCAGATCACGTGAGGTCAGAAGTTTGATATCAACCTG